ATATTCACAGGTTGCTTTATCCATTTCTAATCTTCTTAATATAAAATGTAAATAATATTCGAATAAGATACATTAATATTTACACTTTTCTTACGACTTAACTTCCCCGACATAGTATTTGACAAAAAATTCACCTTATTGACAAAATGGAGCCGCTCTGGTGGCAGAAAAAGTTGTGTTAAGCAATTATTATAATCTGTTATAGAACAACAATGTCGGTAAGCGGACAATTCCGTACGAATAAAATCAATCCTTTTGTTTATATGCTGCAAAAATACGAATATCACAAATAGGAAACGACTTAAACAATTTCACGCGAAACTTGCGAGTTTCGCTCACTGGAAGTAAGGAAGGGAAGAAGATTTTGTAAAAATATTTCTAAACTTTAAACTAATTCATTCAATTCGTGCGCTAATCTTGTCTCTTGTGACCATATTTAACACGTGCTACGTATTGAGAACGCTGCTGTTATATGATTGCTATGAGATCCATAGCGAATATCTCCCGATGATACGTGTATTTTAGAGGTTATTTTACATAATGCAACTGTAATAAACTTACATTACAATAATAGAAAAATAGTAAAAGAGGTATTATTTACAAGAGGCTTAAAGTATGAAATTGCGTTGGTCGCAGTACGATTAGTACAAAATTGTTCAAATCTTAGTGCCTTTGTTAGTTTACATGAATGTGGATTAAAAATACTTATTTTACAAATTTAACTAACACTGTATCTCTTTCATTCACTTTTACTGTGCTTCTATTGATACTAATAAACATTCGCCCGTTAATGGTGACAATAGATATATCATACAATATCAAAAAACTGTGTACAAAATTGAATCTTAAAACTACGGCATTAGGATACAAAATATTTACATTTTAAAGAGGATAAGTGAAACTTTTTATAAGCGACGCTATACAAACCTTTTAAAATAGTGTTTGAACATGAAATGTGTAGCTAGACATAAATGCAAAGTAATAAAAAATCTTTACTTTGAGGTAATCCTTTATAAATATAGATTTAAAACTACATTTTGCGTAAATCCGCATGTAAAGTTGATGAGTATAGATATTAACTGCATGCGGATCTTGGAAAAATCTTTTTGTTTCTTATTTATGTATATAATATGACATTCAATTATGTTTAAAACATACAGTGACATCATTAAAATATACAAATACAAATTGTTTTGTGTCTTATGGCGAATCGCTTGTACTAAGAAGTTACTATTAACATTTACAAAAGTAAAGTCTCATTGCCGTTTTACATGACGCGTTTACAGTATTCGACAAGTAAATACGAATATACTAATAAAACCTTATAAAAGCATTTATAACTAATAATTAAGTAAATTCATATCAAAATTAAACAATACATTTAGTAAATAAAAAAAGTTTATCACCTTTCATTGTAACACAGATGTATGTTTTGGATACATTTTAAAAACATAACTTTTTATTGTTATAAGCTTGCTTTCCCTATCTGAATACTAAGTATAAAAATTTACAGCTAACTTTAAAAATTAAATCAATATGAAGTATTTCAGTAAAATGCAGACGTAATTTGAAAAATGTATTTCACTCATAACCTGAACACTATGTATAATAAATTTTATAATAATATTATAAAAGAGAATATCTAAATGTGTCAGTTCTTAGTAGTAAAATTTTAGTAACATCTAAAATTTTTTCATGCGCTTAATGGCGACTTAAAAGTCATTTTGTTAAAAATAAATTTCATATTATTAATAAGCATTAATTAAAAATATATTTAAAAGTTATATTATAGCAGTTTAATAAGTGAGATGAATGCAGAATCTGTCATAAATGACAGTAAGGTTTGTTTGTTAGTAGCAAGATCCGGTGCTGTAAAATCTGCTTGTAAAGTTTTGCATTAATTCATTCATGAAGTTACTTTATTATTAGCGTTATTTATTCAATTATATAGTCTTTATGTACATGCAAACAACGATTCCTAATAAAATGTATTATACATTTAATACAAAAATTATAGGCAGTGTATAAAGGTAGTTAAAGAACATTAATTTTTATGTCTATCTTATTACAGGGACAAAACGTATACTAATACTTTAGTTATTATTGTTACAACTGTTGGTTATTTACCGTTACGTGGCAAATTTGTTTATGTGTTTGTAATTAAAATATCATTTAAGTATTTTTCGCGTCTTATGAATGGGTTAGTTTTTAATTTTTATCAAATATTTTTATACTATTTCATTCTTATTATATTTTAATTACCTAATAAATAATTTCCCTGAAATATTTTCCTTAATGAATTAATGTTGTTTTAATGTGAGCATTTTCAATATTAATAGTTTAGTAGTGGGTTTTACCTAGGACTTTAATCCGCATTTTAAAGTTATACTGGTGACCTTTTTACCTAATGATTTATTATATTTATGCGAACACTACACATTGATTAAAACTACTTTTACGGATTTCATCGCGTTTATTTTACTTTTAATTACTTTTATTTTTAATTCCCGACGTTTCGGGCGCTTTCCAGCACCCATGGTCACGAGGGACTGACGACTGACGTCCCGATGTCATTGTTAAACCCGAAGTACCTTCAGCTTTTTTAATTATTGTTTTTGGTCCGATCTATGTAAAATTAACTGACTATGTCCTGAATCGTGTGAAGCACCAACGTTCCGGGAAGTCTGCAGTTTGCGACCATATCCTAGACGGCCCCAACCATTACATCAGATTTGATAGACCACAAATCCTCGCGAAAGAACACCGATTCCTACCAAGGATGATACGTGAGGCTATTGAAATTAAAAAACATCCTAATTTCAATAGAGAAGGAGGCTGGGTACTACCACCTGCTTGGGATCCTATAATCAATAAAATTAAAACTAAACCCAAGCATACCACTGCAAGACCTCAGGACATAGTTCATTTTGCATAGATCGGACCATAAACAATAATTAAAAAAGCTGAAGGTACTCCGGGTTTAACAATGACATCGGGACGTCAGTCATCAGTCTCCCGTGACCATGGGTGCTGGAAAGCGTCCGAAACGTCGAAATTAAAAATAAAAGTAATTAAAAGTAAAATAAACGCGATAAAATCCGTAAAAGTAGTTTTAATCGACATTTTTTACCGTCTGAAAAAAAAATGGTATAAAAATAACATGTGAATGGGTAAAAGCCAAGTATATTTAAAAAAAATAAAAACAAACATTTTGAATTAAATAAAAAAATATTTAAAATCTATCGAAATTCAAATCATATTCACCCTTACTTTACAAACGGCAAGAAAACCATAAATTTAGTAGGCATCTTTGACCTTGTCACTTCTTAGGGTTACAGGCTGAGGTTGATATGATTAAAATCGAAAGATTTTAATTTATTTATTTATTTAACTCAAAATTTTTGTTTTTATTTTTTTGTAAAATATCAGTGCCATAGGCTTCTACTCCGTTCACATGTTACACCCTATTTTTTTCAGACGGTAAAAAAGTCATCCATTACAATTATATGAACCTATGACGGTGCATTTCGTGTTTCAAGACAGTTACTAACGAGTTACGATCCAGTTCAGACAGAAGTTTCATCCATACAGAAATTCATTTTTAATCTCAGAGACGAAATTGACAGCTACAACTAAGCATATTTGAAATAACTCGGCATCATTTTGATTTCTTATATTTAAACGAATAATTCATATTGAACAAATCCAGTTTTACAGATTTCGAGGTCTTTTAAGCGTTAATTAAAAATCTGTTAGTTAAATTTATACTATTTAGACGTAATTAAATCCTTAAAATTAGTTTTGTTCAACGTGGCAACATTTTGTTCGCATGTGTGTGTGATCCTTATGATTTCAGTTATTTAAATAAAAAATCTTTTGAATGTTTCTAATATACATTGTGTAGATCACTAAAGAGTTAAATTGTAACAATCAAACAATTCTAAGATAAATTAATATCACTTTCCAACGTACTTACCTTATTATTGAAGTTCACCTGACAGTAGACACTCCATTTGTTATCTAGTTTTTTAGAAAGACCTTTTTTAAAACCTTTTACAGATAAGTCTTGGCAAAATTTCAAAAAATACTACTATATATATAATAAATGATAGCAACATTAAAAAACATTTAATAGAAAACAAAAAATAGGAAATGCTCCCAAAATTAACAGATTAATAAATATATATAAGACTGTCTAAACAAATTTTATTTTTTTCTAAAATAACTTTATTTCCATTTTAGACAGTAATTACATTCTAGTCCATTCCTGTTCAGCAATAAGGATGAATTTTGTAAGTGATCATTCTTGCTTTTATAACGTAAATTATAAAATAATTCTGTCAATACATAACATGACGTAGACGTGTCATAGTGTGAAGACCGCATTCAAGTGAACGCGTGGCTAAATGGAGTGACGATCTGTACAAGGCGACTAGCAGCACCTGGATGCCTGAAGCCGAAGATCTGGATAAGTCCAGCAGCGGTTCGTCGTAGATGACGATGATACCAATGATATTTGAAAGTGTGAAATAAAACTAATTTCACGAGTTTTATCATGTTTAAATTTAACTTTTTTAATTCCCGACGTTTCGGGCACTTTACAGCACCCATGGTCGTGGAAGAGACTGAAATGTTTGACGTCCCGTTAACGAAGGCTATTTTCAACTTTTAAATTAAAATTAAACGCAATAAAATCCGTAAAGTTAGATTATTCCATGTGTAGTATTCGCTTAAATATAAGAAACCATTATTTGAAAGTTATTTTAGAGTCTCTGAAACATAACTCTGCGACGACGATCAAACAACGCGTTTACCTTTATGCTTAATTATAAAGTAGGTCTGTATGCGTATTTAATACTCTTTGGTCAACCGTTAAACCGTTAATAACGTCTGTCAGGTGAAATCAATATTGTAGACAGAACCTTAACCCCACTGTTAATATTACTTGAAGTATTTCAAAGTTATGTCCGTAAACTCCGTACAAATCAAATTGTTTATCACTAGCAGTGAAACTGTTGTTGTGTGATAGCTGATAGGTCCTTCATTAGACCCTCGAGGTTCTGCATTTCACGATGGAGACGCTCCGTCGACCTGGACGGAGTCAAGGGCTCCAACTCCTCGGAACAGTGGGGAACTCCGCCACCTAAGGGATGTTGATAATATAATAAGTTATTTATTTTACAAGGTTGCATGGTACAGGTACAGTCATCTACGTGTTCATAGGTGTCTACTTGTCTAAGATACTGTGTATGGGGTAAAAAAGGGGTTAGTTTAAATGATAATTTTTTTCTTACGGTTTGTGAATGAATCAATCCATACCGAGGGGCCTAGAAAGAGAATAATTAGTTGCTTGATCATCTCAGAATTAAAAAAATATAAGAATTTTCAGATCCTTTGTCTTATGTTTCAAAATTTCAACATTTGTATTGTGTTCTGTTCAAAAATTATTTAATGATCTCAAGTTTAAAAAAGGGCAAGGAATTGTTCTTTTTAATTTATTACGTACATAAATTTATTATGCCTATGTTCAGCAGTGGAGTTGTGAAGGGCTGTAATGATAATGATGATGGTGATGATGATAATAATGATGATGATGAAACTGGTGATGGTGGTGATGATGATGTTAATGGTAATGATGATAATACATTTATTAAGTATACGCTATGTAGTGGTGAAGTAAAGGAATCCACTAACAAGAACACACTAGGGAAACTGAAAAGAGAGCCGGACACAAGCATTTTCCCGATAACAACTCAAAATAATGCAAAACTGCGGTTGCCAAGTCAAGCGTTTCAACTGTGCCAAACATTCCCCTTTGAAAAAACTCATGGTGGGGGCCTGTGTTCATCAATGGACTTGATATGCTGTAATGACGATGATAAAGATGTGCACACAAAAAAGCAAAGAAATTATACAGTGACTTCGTATAAAGTCACTACTTATTTTTACATATCACATATATTTAAATGTCTTTCGGTGGGCACACAAAAACCCAATTTAGTGCGTACATTTTTTACAAGTTGTTCACAATAATGCACATTCAACATAAACAAATACTTAGATTATTATAAATAGTACAATGCACTCGTTCATACGTGCAAATGTGCGTGCACAAGATTTTTATAAAACTCTAGTGACAAACGACTTACAGTGCACCTGGTAGTCCAAATGGTGCATGACCATTTTTTATAGGATAGGGTGACAAACGAGCACACAGTCCATCCTGATGGTAAGTGGTTGCTGCGGCCCATAGACATCTACATCTATCCTCGATTACAAATCAAAATGCAGATGCGTTATCGTACCCGTCAGGACTAAGATGGAATGCCTCTTTCCAGTGAAAAGTGTCTCCGGTTCTCTACACTCACCATATAAAACACAGCAGCATAAAGCTACTATCTTACGCTGGTATTCTGTAAGAACATGGTCCTGCCTCGGTCTACCTGACCCATTCGTGCTACAACTATACTACTAATATATAACTGCAGCACGGCTCTGCCACGTATAAAATTTACTGCAGTCCATGGGCACATGCAGCCAACAAAATGTCTACAGATGCGTCACCTCTGAGGACTGAGATATAATGCCTCGTAGCCTGTCAATTAACTAGCTCTCTATACCCTTCAGACCGGAAATACAGCACTGCTATTTGCTAGCAGAAATAGGTAACGGACTCCTAGACACAAAAGTTGTCCTACCACCTAGCGAATGTTGAACGAACATTGTTCATCACAAAAGTCTTGAGAAGAAAAGATGATTTCTTCTTAAGACTATTGTTTTAATCCTCATTTAATACCCGATTATGTTTTTATTTAAATAATTTATATATATATCTTTTGCAAATAAATAACATCGTACTTGCGATTGGTCACCCAATGGAATGGTAGACTAGGTAGACTAGAGAAATTTATTTATTTATTATTTGTTCTTTATTTTACACAAAAATATAGAAAACGAGTAAAGTTCAATCTAAAGAATAGGTCAATAGGCGTTCTTATCACTCTGAAAGTCGACTTCCAGACAACTGTGAAAGTTTTAGCGTGGAGGATTTGTGCAAGCAATGATTAAAACAGAAGGGAACATAAAAATAATGAAAATACAATATAAATATAGATATGGGCATATCTATATTTATATTGTATTTTCATTATATATATAAATGATGACAAATCCAAATTATGACAAAGTAATTAAAGGGAAAGACTACGAAAAAGGTAAAGTAACTTACCGAGTTGCAATCTGTTAGGTATGTGCCCGGGAGACGAACTAGCGCTCTTTTTGTACGGCGACGTCTCTCTCACACTACCTGCTGTATATATGATAATATACATACATATACAAATATATGACAATAGTAAAAGTAAAGAATAGAATTGAAATAGAAACACTTTTATTCAATATAAATCATAACAATACTTATTTAAAGTCACTCTTAATTTTAATTTATCACTAGTTCAGAAAATACCTCCTGAAAAATTTCCTGGGAAGAACCAGCATTCTTGAATTTTTAGGGGAAAGGAAATTTATAGGGCAGAGGTATGTTCGTACAGTTCGACCCAGTAGGCCTTTTTTTAAAAGTCAACAGTTTACGATCATATACTACAAAGTTAAATGCACAAGGAAATAAACAGCTGGGCACAGTCATCGTCTTAATTTTTGAGAGGGTTTTAGGTCAAGGAAGTGTCTATCAAACTGCCCGAGTTCGTATTGGCGAACTTCACATGTCTTATACTAAATCAAATCTAAGAAACACCTTTTGACGTTTCACATTAATCATTCCGCAATAACTTTGTACAAGCGTACTCACATGATTTAAAATAACCTTTTACATAAATTATATTTAAAAATTAACATATATTTCATAGCAACATGTATAATTTTTTTGTCATGTGTTTAAGTTAGAATCTTTCAAAAAAAGCAAAATATAAGAAAATTTATCATAACCAACTTTTTTGCCTGACGTTGTTTATATGATATGCCACTATGTAACTTACCGGTGTTTAGATGATTAAAATTAATTGTTAATAGGTATCAGATAAAATTAATTGATTATAATCATCAAAAATATTCAAATAATCGGTAAAAATGAAAGTTTAAATTCTTTACCGTATTTACTGTTTATTTAAATTTTATTTTTAAAATTGCTTAAATTATATGAATCATGAATACAACAATTTTAATTTCTTTTATAATTTCCTAGTTTGTCAGCGTAAATTAGTGTAGGCGACAAAAATTCATATCAAGAGAAGAAAAACACTACGTAATTCTAATCTCCCGCCATTTCGAAAGTTATTTTGTGACTCAGCTATAACTTTTTGGACTGGTTCTTCTATAATGTTCGCTATACGTTCAAAAAAAAAAAAAAAAAATATATATATATATATATATATATATATATATATATATATGATCTTCGCAAGTTATATACTGGATTCTGATTAAATCAAAAAGAGGACATAGTTGTGGTAGTTGCACCTTAAACAGCCCGGCATTGGTGGTGAAATTAGACAAATATTTTGAACGTGAGCCACAAAACGGTGGGCCCCTTTTACCTGTGACACAAGTGCTGGATCGTGTCAGTGAAGGACCTAGAATTGGCAAAAGCACCATTGCAAAGATCGTCACTGAAAAGTACGGGCCTTCAGGCAGTGACAAGGCGTCCGGGGGACAAGGTTGTCGTCTCATAATTTGACATGCGAGATCCGCCGGAGAAGGATTTGAAGAAAATTGTTTACTAGTTTTTCAATCAAAGAGTATAAGAGAATACCACGAGAAAATGGACGCAGAAAAATTTAAACAGTGATTTATAACCCTAACTCTCACTTTACAAAATATTCATGCGAATAGCACCACAATAATGGCCAACGCCCCGTACCATTCTGGCCAAATTGGCAAAGCAAGCTCCAACCCAAACAAATACGAAAGCAGATTTAGTAGCATGGCTGCAACACAAAGGAGTGGTAGCGGACATGAAATTATTGAAAGCAGAGCTAATACAATTAATAAAGCGAAATAAACCATGTAAACTTGTACGTTATTGATAAATTAGCAGAATAGCACGGGTATAGGACTAGCAAAATACCACTGCCAAAAGAATGCTATTGAATTGATTGGGACCTAAATAAAAGGCTAAATGCCAACATATTAACCCTACATAAACACACACGAGATGAAAATATCTTATGTTTATAGGCTATGCAACACGACACAACACTAAGCCACCTTTCACAATAAAGAAGATGGAAGGTTTACTGGAGGAATCACCTGCCTATGACATAAAGGATGATTGGGCAAAAGTGGTGGAGATAACAAAGAAAACTATTATGGATGACTTTGAATGGGACATTCATTTTGGTAACATTATTGAAAATCAAAATTAATCTCAACAACGACAGTTCAAATAATTGTAGTGAAAGTGATTGAATTGACTTATTTATAATCTAGTTTAAATATTAAATTCGCCTCGAGAAATAAGCAGTAACAATAAATACGAAGAAACTGATAAATTTTGTATTTTAAGTTATCCGCTTTTAATTTATTCTGGTATTAATTCAAACAAAACTGTAAATGATCAACTCTTAAGAATCAATATCGATTTTTATTAAGAATCAAATAATGTACGTACCGATTTTTGGTTGACAAGCATAGTGCAAATAAGTCTAAAAGCTGATAAAATGTATTTGTGTGTTTCTCAGATTTAGGTTATTTGGTTGAGTATTAACATTATTTAACATTATTTTATGCACGTGGTAAATCAGCATGTAACTTAGAACTAATAATTTCATTGGTGCCGACGGGGATCGAACCCGGGTTGCTCACGTATTGTGCAATTTACAGCGAGCGCATAGATCCTGAGCTACAATGCAGTGGCGAAGCTAGGGCTCCAAACTAGGGCAAGCCCAAGATATGGTTTTGTTGTTTTTAGCAGTTTAATAAAAATACACCAATCTTGAGCTGTCTCCACTCTTCAGTTTCATATTCAGTGCTGACAAGGACGTGTTTAACAAAGCACACAGAAAGCATACTACCGCTAGATAGATTGTATGACATAATATGCAATTGCACACCTTCGGTGGTTTTAAAAAGAGCCGTTTGGGTTTGCTTGAGATATTTACAAACAATACAATACATGAACAAAAGAAAAACATGAACAAAGTACAAACAAACTATGTACAAAGTTAAAAAAGGGACGCCTGGCAGATGTGAAACCTCGAAATTATTTTGTTAAAGTTATATGCATAAAAGAACAGATTACGACAGGAATTAGATAGTTATAATGAGAAGATAAAGCTTTGCTAATTTTTTACCATAAAATAATGACTATTTATTACATAATTATTCATTTTCAATTTATAATAAACCGTACAAAATGATATTTTTAAACTCATATGGTAATATAAATATGAAATTAGCCGATAGCGTATTTGTGCCATCTAGCGTAATCTTTAGGTACCATCGTGAGAAATAACCAATTTTCGTTCGATAAAATGACTTTACCTATAGAATTAAGTAGATGGCGCTATTAAAATTTTATATACTGAAAATAACTAAAGGGAGTATTCTTTAAAAACCTCAATACATTCTTCTGTATTCTTTTGATTTATTACATTAAAATTCGGGCTTCACGTTAAAAAAAGATTGTAACACTTATTTCCTATAAAATTAAACCTAAGTGTCTCATATTTTATGCTGCCGTTCAAAATGATATTTTTAATTCATATGGTAAAATAAATATTGAGTTATTAAACCTTTAAATACGCCTAACTTAATTAAACTTCAATACTAAAGAGTCCTGTACCGATATTTAATGTATGAAAAAATGTTTATTGAATATTAAATTTCTTTTTTAAAGATTTTACCTTTTCCTCGCCGATTAGCACTTCTACACACTTATATTCATCACAATGAACACTATTATCCACCAATTTTCACTGAAAATCTTTGAAAAAGCATAAATTTTTAACAAACACAACAAAAACAAAAACAAATATTGAAATGTGAAGTGAACTTGCATACGAATGGCCCGCACCCCATTCGCTAGTCGCTAACGCACTCCTAAACAACTTCAGGGCAAAGCCAGGCTTGTGGCTCAATAGTAATTGCTATATAAACATTTCGTAGTTATATTTCATTAGAGAACATTTTGCCACAGGTTAGAAAGGGAGCGATCGTCTTCTCGAAAGCCCGGTAAAAAGCCCACGCGTGCGGGGAGACAACGAATCGCTCAATTCAACTCTCCTTATATGTATGACAGCAGTATTCCTAAGGCTACGAGGTCGAACAGAGCGCGCGGGAAATTTGAAATAGTTTAAAACAGTTTACGAGTTATTTTATTACTTGATATTATTTATTGATTCAGCTTGATAAAGCAAGCCGGGCTTCTGGGCTTCTATAGAGGCTTCGCCACTGCTACAATGACTCTATAGGAAAGTGTTTTGATCATACTGTCACATCACATCAACAGCCTTTTTAAATCAATTGCTAGACATACTTTGCCTTTTACAAAGCGTTTGGGGGAGGGGCTATATTCAGAAGCCGATGTAAGACATGAATATATATTTACCTTTAGAGTGCGAGGGTGTCGAATGGTCGGATCCGTCCGCGGACAGCGTGAAGCTGTGCAGCGGCGCGCCGCACGCCGCCCTGCGCTGCAGCGACCCGCCCGCGCACCCGGCCCCTCCCCCTCCGCCTCCCCCGGCCAGCCCCCCCACTGGGCCCGCTCCCCCAACGCCGACCCCACCGACTCCACCGACGCCCGCGTCGCTGCTTAATGAATCTCGGCTAGGAAAAAATATAAATTGTTAAAAATATAGTTATAGAAATTAATATAGAAATATAGAAAATAACATAGAAACAATAGACGCTGTCTAATCAATACGAGTAGTGTCCCAGAAGCTCGTATGCGACGTGTTGGCCACGTTCTCGGGCCATATGTCGGTAGCCACGTGCGAGATGTATTTAAGCACTAGCTACTCACTGCATGTAGTGTCTCACGGGCTCGTAGGCGACCTAGTGGCCACGTACCCGGGCCTACACCGATAGCCACGTGCGATGCTGTATGTAGGCACTGGCTACTCACTGCGTGTAGTGTCCCAGGGGCTCGTGCGCGACGTAGTGGCAACGTTACCGGGCCATCTATCGGTGGCCACGTGCGATGCTGGAGGTAGGCACTGGCTACTCAATGCATGTACTGTCCCAGAGACTCATACGCGACGTATTGGCCAGGTTTCTGGGCCATATGTCAGTGGCAAGGTGCGATGCTGTATGTAGGCACTGGCTACTCACTGTGTGTAGTGTCCCAGGGGCTCGTACGCGACGTAGTGGCCACGTTCCCGGGCCGCGCATGCGTACACGTCAGAGCCGGTGCTACCCACGCCGCTCGGCACTGAGCAGGCGGCGCCTAGAGGACACGTGCCCGACCCACCTGCTCAAAATAAAGGCTGTCAATAGGGGCCAGCAATAATTAGAAGATTCAAGAACTTTGAAGACTCAATCCGAAATAATTAAAAAAATACAAATCATAAATGCAGTTAAATTAAAAACTATATTATGTTTTATGGGTTTTGCTAAAATTTCAAAATTGAGACAGGTTGTGAAGACATTTATCGTCTTTGTACGCAGTTGAAATACATAATTTATTACTTGGCAGATGCGCAAATTTTTGTTATGACTACAGAGAAAATAGTCAAGTGGGAGGAGTTATCCTCAATAGTCAGGTGGGAGTTAGTGCAGTGTACAATGCAGTTCCAATATTGGGCTAAATTGGTACACCATGGGGTTTTATTCGGTGCAATTTCATTATAACCCGTCCTTGCTCACGCAAGGTATGCGTAAACCACATACCATGAGGTGTAGTACAAGTTTTCATTCAATTCTTTCCAACATTATGAAAAAAGTACATCAATAAAAATTCAACTATATACGTATAGCAATAAGGTGGTGATTGCGTTACTGACAGGGTGCGGGCGGCGGGTGTGGCGGGTGCGGCGGATGCGGCGCGTGCTGCAGCGAGGCAAGCGATGACTGCGGCGAGCTCAGCGGCCCCACGCCCGCCAGCAGTGGGGTACTCTGTGCACAATGCATAAGGTTTAAATTGCTTTGTCGGTCGGTACAATGCCCACTTACTACATTTAAACTGTGTTTTCCCTTGTGACTCGCAATACGTTGACACGAGTTAATAATCTACAAACATAAAGTTTTAAGGAGTATACAAAATTGTGAATAATTTTGATAGGGTTGTCACTTAACAATATGTGTTAGGCGAGAAATTGATATTTTTCCAGTAAAACTCTTGAAACGAACCGTTCTTGAAATTAACTGTTTTTGTAATAATATTTACAAAATTGTTTACACACGAATAGCGTTACAGATAAACAGGTACGAATAGGTAACAAGATTTACTATTTTACTTAGCTACTATTCTAAACAACTATTTATTCACCGCGACTTCGCCCGCGTAATTAACCTACCATAGGATTTAATGGGTTTAAATTTTTTTGCTCGGAACCCTAATTCTTTCTAAAATAAAATTATCCAATGTTACTTCTTATAACATCAAATATCTACCAGTGAAAGCCCTGTCAAAATCGATCCAGCCATTTCGATGATTAGCCGGGACAAAAAAACTGTTTTTTTTTACATTACAAAGAGACTCTTAAAAATTTAGATATAATTATTGTAAAGATTACTTGTCTCTAAAAATTTTTTGAAGCTTTGTCACAATGGTGTATTTGCTCATGTGATACATATGTCTGCGATGGAAATTACTCCGAAACTGTGTTTTTTTCTTCATTATGTTATCTAGCACTTTGTAATCTAAAGTAAATTATTAATAATAAAAAGACATGGGCTTATAATTGATACTAATACATGAAGCGGATCGAACCGAAATGAATGAAAGCTAGCGTTTGTCAGAGGAACGAGAGTGGTTGAATGAATGAAAATAGAATGTGAGTATGTACTGTGTACTTAAGATTCGCCATTTTTCTCAATATAAAAATAAAAGGCATACGTCGAAAAACTTGATCTTTTATTTCTATCTGCACATACATTTACATCAAAACATAAAAAAACAAGTAAACAAACGTCTTAACGTTCGGTTTCTTCGTCAAAACGAAGGCACCTACAATTCCACTAGAGTTTTAATTTATGTAACAATCGCATTAAAGTTCTAAAATACAGAAAGTGCTTGAAAGAAACCAAGTTGTGAAACGATATACCTAATAATTTAAAATCTGTGGTTTTCAACAAAATCATCTCATCAATTTTGTTGAAAACCACAGATAACAATAAAGTAACTACAAAAAGAAGCGTACTGTCACTCTTGCCTCATATATGGGTGAGTGTATCACTCTTCCATCTAAATTAGTTTTAATTACCTCAAATTACAAAGTGCTACTTGTAGATACTAAAATGCTTGATCAAATATAAAACCGCTTAATAATTGATGTTATGAAACTGTATTCTCTATATTAAATCTTTACAGAGTAGAAGTACTTAAATGTCGATTATAGATTTAATTAATTTATGTCACACTTGCCCCAGATGACCTTACATCAAGCACACGAGAATTTTAGAAATGTTTTAATGACAATTGTTTATTATTTAATTTAGAAGCGTGCATTTTTCCTATTTGAGAATACTTACTATTTATACATATATATTTGGGATGTGCAAGCGGGATTTAGAAAGGGAATGGGGTGTACAGATCAAGTCTTTTCCATGCGCATGATCGCGGAGAAGTTTTTGGCGAAAAACCAAAAAGTTTTTTGTGCGTTCATGGACTTGGAAAAGGCTTATGACAGAGCGGACAGGGATGTGTTATGGCAAACGCTGAACGCATTTAGGTTGAGCGCTGGTTTGATACAGGCATTAAAGTCTCTGTATAGGGACTCGAGTGCTTGTGTTAGAATCAACGGGGTCTACTCGGACTGGTTTGGTATCCATAAAGGTGTCAGACAGGGCTGTGTGGCTTCCCCGTGGCTGTTCAACCTATTTATGGACAGCTGTTTGGAAAATTTGAAAGTTGAAGAATGCGGGTTAAGAATGGGTGAGTTAACCATCAAATGCCTTTTATACGCCGATGATCAAGTCATACTTGCGTCGTCGGCGGCCGAGTTGCAAATGATGGTTACATTAATGAACAGGTCATTAAAAGAAAGGGGAATGAAAGTGAACGCAAGTAAGACGAAAGTGATGGTTTTTGAAAGAGATGAAAGCAAAACGGTATGTGAAATAAGAATAGAAGGAGAGTTAATTGAGCAAGTGGATGAGTTCGTATATTTGGGATGTGTATTCAGGGATGGGAGATATGATAAGGACATTGAACGACGAGTGAATGCAGGAAATAAAGTAAATGGGTCTCTACACTCTATTGTGAAAAGTCAGAATGTGTCAAAAAAGGCACGTATGGTAATTCACAGTGCTGTATTAGTCCCTACTTTAACGTATGGTAGTGAAAGTTGGGTGTGGCAGAAGAAGCACGAGAGTAGAATAAATGCAGTAGAAATGCGATCGCTAAGGAGTATGTTAGGGCTGAATCTGAGTGACAGGGTGAGAAACTGTGTGATAAAAGAAGAGTGTGGTTTGCAAGATGATGCGGTGACCAGGATTAAGAAAGGAATGCTTCGGTGGTTTGGTCATGTAGAAAGAATGAATGCGGAAAGACTGACAAAGCAAATATATGTTGCAGAAGTGAATGGAAGAGTCGGAAAGGGACGTCCTAGGCGGAAGTTTGTCGACCAAATTGGCGATGTACTAAAAATGAGCCAAATTAAGAGTACCCTTAACCGACGAGCATGTATGCGTAGGTATATGGATGTGGAAGAGGCGAGAAAGGTATGTCAGGATCGTGCTAAATGGAAGTCTGTAGTCTCTGCCTACCCCTCTGGGTGACAGGCGTGAGTGTTTATCTATGTTATATATATATATATATATATATATACTTTTGAATAAATAAATAGGGTAGATTTTTTTCTTTAAATTAAAACGGGACCTTTCATCTTTTATAGCCTATTTCTTAAAACACAAGAGTTTCAATTTTCACACTTTCGTAAAGTAGTATTTTATATTTTTTTACATGATAGGGTGACAAACGAGCACATAGTCCACCTGATGGTAAGTGGTTGCTGTGGCCCATAGACATCTACATCCATCCTAGATAATGAATAAAAATGCAGATGCGATATCACCCGTGAGGACTAAGATGGAATGCCTCGTTTCTCGTAAAAAGGGTCTCCGGTTCTCTACACTCACAATACGAAACACAGCAGTATTAAGCGGTTACTTTACGCTGGTATTCTGTGAGAGTGTGATCCTTCCCTGGTCGAGCCGACCCATTCGTGCTACAACTATACTACCAATATAACTGCAGCATGGCTCTACCGGGTATAAACAGAGGCACAAACAATAGAAATTAAATAATATATCAATATAAGGTCACCTATCAAAAATCTTACCGTGTAATGGTGTTTGTAAGAGTGGTCGTAAGAATGGGTTTCGCAAGAGGCGACAGAGCGAAACCAATCAGGAGATGGGCAGCAGCGTCTTCCTAATAACGACTATAAATAAAAGCTGCGGCTGCCAACTCGCTTGCCAAGCATGCCAACTGCGACAAATATCCGTCCTATAATATCTATGGGCGGCCCATGTTCAGCAGTGGACTTAAATAGGCTGTAACAGTCAAGGATCAGTAATAGAATTCTAAGAACTCTTAATAATGTCTACATACTGGCACCAGTCTCAACGGAAATTAGCCATTTGCGCAGGACAGGATTATAGTGCCAAAATGTATATGCAAGCACAGGTGCACTCTTTATTCCCTCACTCTCATAATCCGATGTTACGACAATCACGACTGGAGAGCACGACTGGAGAGAGACCATGCACAGTACCAACGGCTTTACGTGCTAAAAAAAAATTGCGACCAAAAAACCAAGCGAAAAAACAGGCAGAAAAAACCCTAGTTCGAGGCAATTTATTGATTTAAAATTTCTCTCAACGCTCGCTCTGAAAATTCTGATAAACAAAAAAACTTCACGGTAAAAAATTATATAATTTTACCTGGTCCGGTAAACCATGTCGCCGCCTCTCACACGTTGCCGCGCACCCCACTCCCACGCCAACACCCACGCCTGTCATCGCTGGAATTAAAGTAAAAGTAAAGTAAAGATCCAGCCTATATACGTCCCACTGCCGGACACAGACCTCCTCTCATTTTTGAGAGTATTTTAGAACAAGGAAATGCCCGCCGGGCTGCCCCAATGCGTGTTGGTGAATTTCACATGTCTTCGAAATATTTCTTTTGTTATTTCTCAGACATGAAGGTTTCCTCATGATGAGCACGTGGTAAATCAGCACTTAAAATTGCAATATACAATTTTATTGGTACCGAACCCGGGTTGCTCGTGTAGTGTGAAATTTACATCGAGCGAAAGCAAGTGAAAGCTTTTAATTGTATTCACGCAAGCGTTTAACGTTTACAATATATCGATGTTTAGCCAACGCAACGGTAATTTTTTTGTATAAGTTAAGTAAAGTAAACTTATACAAAAAAAATTTTGTAACAGATCGATTGCCCTTGATTTTTTTTAATTTCGGTTGCTAGCTCCTTAAAACGGCAAGTACCCGGCAAAAATCAACTGGATCCAAGTCTTTACAATATTTTTGAGCTAGATCGACTCCATTTTTTCACAGATCCTAAGCCGACCTATTTTAAAACGCGGGGCCACTAAAGAAGACGAAATTTTCATGTAGACTCTTTGCGCTCTCTACCCTTGTTTTAATTTCTGTTAAAATATTGTCAATCACTACTTTTATGTCTTTTAACCCATTTGAATCTAACGTTCTTGATTCATCCTCGCAGATTTCATCGTGTTTCCTTTTCTTTTTGTAAATTCGTTTTATTTTAAGAACTGGCTCGATTTCTAACTTTTCTAATACAGGTGCAGCTTCTTTTAACAAATGTTCTTTTGTTTTTTTTCTCTCATTCCTCGCGAGAACTTAACAAGACTTTGCATTATCGCCACAGAATGCGTAATGATAATATCCTCTTTTTTATTTCAACGTTCACTCTATTAATTTCGCGAAGAATATGATCTTAAATTGTTAAGTTGGGGATAAATCCAACACCGCATGTAGTGAATGACTAGCATCATACTTGGATTCTGCGACTGGAGAAGATTATTCAATTTCCTCCAGGGCTTTGTCAATTTCCGGTAAATTATTAAATAAAGCAGTAACAGCCAGGTGTTTAGTCGTCCATCTGGTTTGAGTACTTCTTTTTAAGTTTGTTTTTGTACACTTTTGCATTATTTTTCACTGTGTGGTGAATCCGACAAAGAAACAATACAGTTTTTCTACAAGTCCAAATTGGTTAATTGCTTCTGGACTTGACGACGCTGAATGCACGCTCATAAGATTTAAAGCTTGTGCTCGACATGAACAACGTGCGTTGGATACTAGACACATTGTGGAGCAAGTTTTTTTTGAAAACCCATAATATTATATATTTGGCGCCCTCTGAAACATCCGCCCGGGGCGTTTGCCCCGGTTTGCCCCCCCCAGATCCGAGGCTGGGTGGGATTGGAAGGGCATCGTTTATAATGAGCTTTTACAGCCGGTCAAAACTATCGTTCGGATCTCTACTGCCAACAACTAATGAGACTCAAGCAAGAAATTGAGAAAAAACGGCCGGAATTGATCAACAGAAAAGGAGTGTCTTTCATCATGATAACGCCAGACCACACACACTCAGCAAAAATTGAGAGAGCTTGGTTGGGAAGTGTTAATGAATCCACCAACACAATATAGTCTCGACCTTGCACCCTCAGATTTTCACCTATTTCGGTCTCTACAGAATTCTTTGCATAGTTCTAAGTGCCACAAAAATTGTTATTAAACGTAATTAAATTTTGAAAAAAAAAAAATGTCTTGAATTTGTATATAAAATACTAAAAAACCCCTTTCCCCGACCCTATATACATAGTTATACCAAGCGCCGCTTTACTTTAGATTGCACGAAAAAACGAAATTTAAATCGTGAAATAGCTTATCCTTGATATAGGTTACAGTGTAAAAGTAAAAGTTTGGTCGAATTCACCCTAAATAATCAAATTACCTCCCTAAATAAAAACATCTGAAATATAGCTCTTATTTTTATATTTAGAAAACATTAGATAAAATTAAATATTTTCATACACAGCGAAATCTTTCATGCACAGCGAAATCTTTCATTTTGCATGTGCGAACATTCCGCTTGGCCATCTTAAAACTTACTTCTGTAGTCGCAGCGGTCGCAACGCCTGCAGCTGGAGCCGGAAGCGGGCGAGGCGCGCAAGATGGCCGTGTCGTCACTTCCACTGCCCGCGCAAGATGGCGACCGCCGCGAATCTATTTGTGTACGCCGAAAACAAAACGAAATGTGGGCTAAACTAAAACGACTAGCAAAACAAAATCAACAGTCAAAATATAGCAAAAAAGCATTTTACGTGTAACAATAGTATATAAAAAAACGGTAGGTACATTACGATAACGACGGGAAAGTGCTAGAGTGAAACTTACCGGTGTACGTGTACGTCTTTAGAGTTAAGACTTTTCATATCATTAACGTAACCTTGAGTTAATACCCCATGGTTGGAAGTGGCTCATTCATCATTCATCATCATTCATTATTTATTTAAAAACTTCATTGCCCTATCCGTAAAGGTTACAAATTCTATGTCAGTCAACCCATGACGGGGTGAAAGTTTAAGGCAAGTGACGTAAATAACTAATTATAATAAACATAATTGGATTCAGCACATATTAAAATAAGGTTTATAAATTACACAAAAACACATGAATTCAACAAATAAATAATAACCCATATATATCGTTCTATCTTTAACACAACTACATACATATATAAATATGTACACATAAATAGATATACACATATATAATGTTACGTTGTAGAACGGCCAGTTTCTGAGAAACTGTACGTAACTCAATAAATTAATTAATCAAGGTCGTTGCTCAGGTGTCTTCTAACAATGGGTGCGTTTGGCAGAAAAAAGCGCTAGCAAGCATTTGTAAGCAAAATTTATTTATTTATTTATTTTATTCTTTATTGCATCCTTAAACAAAAGAATACAAAGGGCGGACTTAATGCTTTGAGGCATTCTCTACCAGTCAACCCATGGAGTGGTGAGAATTTGACGTAGGTTTAGCAATATAGAATAATAGAATACAATACAAATGATAATTAACTACATAATATATACAAACTACTAACAAATAAACTATAAATATATGATCTAACCTTACATATATACAAATATATAAATAAATGGATATACATACAAGTATACATATTTAAATACATAGATAATTAGTATATACAAATACTCTGTAAGACTACGTCTGTTTGGCAATACATATTAAATAAATAGATGAGTCATGTAAAATGCGTTGTCTTTAATAAATGATCACGGACAAACTTTTTAAAAGCGTACTTATTGGGAGCTTTTCTGATGTCATCGGGCAAGGAGTTCCAAAGGCGTGTAGCCTGAACTGTGAAGGAGTTATCATAGAACTCGGTGAAGTGAACTGGAGTACAGAATTTTTGTTAGAAGAAGAGCGTACCCTATCATGAGATGAGGAAAGATAATGAAATTTACTATTAAGATAACAAGGCGAAGATGGATCATTTAATGTGGAAAAAAGTACAAGTAATAATCTGGAGTTGCGCCTCTGCCGGATTGTAAGCCAATTTAGCTTAGATCTGTATTGCGAAATATGATCATACTTAGGAAGCCCAAAGATAAATCTTATACAGTTATTGAGGAGGCGTTCCAGCTTGTTCAGAAGATCTTGGGACAGGTCTGGGTAACACACATCTGCATAATCAATTATAGGTAATATATGTGTATGGACAAGCATGATCTTAGATTTTGTGGGAAGAAAATGTTTTAAACGATACAGAGAGCATAACGGGGCAGTGACTTTACGACTCACATCTGAAACCTGAATTCTCCAATTCAGCGTGCTGTCGACGTGATGCTCAAGCATTTAATATGGAAAAAAGTACAAGTAATAATCTGGAGTTGCGCCTCTGCCGGATTGTAAGCCAATTTAGCTTAGATCTGTATTGCGAAATATGATCATACTTAGGAAGCCCAAAGATAAATCTTATACAGTTATTGAGGAGGCGTTCCAGCTAGTTCAGAAGATCTTGGGACAGGTCTGGGTAACACACATCTGCATAATCAATTGTGGGTAATATATGTGTATGGACAAGCATGATCTTAGATTTTGTGGGAAGAAAATGTTTTAAACGATACAGAGAGCATAACGTGGCAGTGACTTTACGACTCATATCTGAAACCTGAGTTCTCCAATTCAGCGTGCTGTCGACGTGAAGGCCAAGGTTTCTAACAGAATTACTGAATGGAATTGTAGTGTTATCATAGTAAATAGGAGGTAAGTCTGTCAGATTAATCTTAGCCAGCATCCTTGAGCTACCCACCAGTATAACTTGGCATTTCAAAGGATTGACCAAAACTCCATAACGAGGAGACCAATCCTTGATAGCTGCTAAGTTGCCGTTAAGGTTTTTGATCCCATTATGGATATCCCCAATCTCAGTTTGCACATAAAGCTGAAGGTCATCGGCATACAAATGGTACGAGCTGTCGATGATGGAGGTAATAAAGTTTATAAAAATTGAAAACATTATAGGAGAAAGAATACCGCCTTGCGGCACACCAGCACCCACATCAGCCCAAGCTGAGGACAATTGACCCACACTGACTGACTGATGTCGACCGCGAAGATAAGATGCAAACCAATCCAATTCAGTAGGGCCAAAATTCAGATGAGACAGTATGGAAAGAAGGATTTCATGATCAACTGTGTTGAAAGCATTTGAGAAATCAACTAGTACCAGTACTGTTATTTTTTTTCTTCCATGCCTTTTTTAATTAATGCAGTGGTGGTACTATGACCAGGACGAAACCCAGACTGATATATACTCAGTAGGTTATGTTTCGAAATAAAAGTAGAAATTTGCTTGTAAACACAGGATTCTAAAATTTTGGAAAGAAACGGTAGAATGGATATTGGAAGAAAATGATTGGAAAGAATAGGAGTAGGAACTTTTGGGAGAGGCTTTACAAAAGCCCTCTTCCAAAGATTAGGATACTGACCTGAACCAAGGGAAAAATTGATTATATGGGAAATTGCTGGGAGAAGGTGCCCTAGTATAAATACTACCATATGTCTGCTAATCTCGTCGTAACCCACGGCCTTGGACTGGATTGCTAAAATCGACGTTTTGACATCATCCTGAGAAACAGGAGAAAAATTAAAGGTAGGAATGTTAAGAATTTGCATAGAAGCAATGAAAGCCATAGTTTGGGAACGAATTGTAGGGTTCAGTGCTTTTACAGAAGCGAAATGTTGGTTGATTTCATCAAGTGACAAAGAAGGACCACAATCTAACGTCTACAAAGACCGAAAGATTTTAGGAATTTCAACACTAAAACTGGAGAAGAGTCATTAATACAGTTATGGAAATATCGGCGTTTAGCTGCACGTACCATCTGATTACACCTATTCCTGGCTGCTTTAAAAGATATCCAATTTTCTTCAGTTCGATCTCTCTTGAAACGAAGAAAAGCACGATTTCGTCTAGCCATCCTTACGTTCTCTGTCATCCAAGGGGCAGGGGGACGCTTCAATCCAACCTTGTGAACAGGAGCATGAGCATCATAAAGGCTAAGAATATTGTGGTTAAGGATAGTGACTTTATCGTCAACAGTAGATGCTGCTATTAAAGAGGCTAGATCAAGATTAAGAGCATCATTCCTAAGCTTGTAAAAGTCTATTTTAGAAAAACTGCGAAGATGCATTACAGTAGGGGAATATTTAGGAGGTTTAAACTTATACGATGCATAAATTAAGTCGTGGCGTGAGAAACCCAAAGCGGGTAACTGTCCATGCATCATTACATGTTCAGGAGAAGCAACAAGGATTAGATCAATCCATGAGTCATCGGTTCCGATATTATAATGAAAATGGCGAAACTAAACAGTTTTCGGCCAGAAAACGTTTGCTAACTTCAGTAGCGCTGATACAATCCGCTATTTTGCTTATTTAATTTGTTTGTTTTGAAGTTTTTAAGTTGTTAAAGAGTTTATAAGTTGTTTTGTGCAATATTAGTTTTAAGTAATATAATGACATGAATAGACATATACATGTTATTAAAAATTCATGATTGGTAAGTTTTTAATATGAATACTTTACAAACATATATTTAAATTAGGTTAGGTTCCCCGGTTAAAACTAACTTCGTGTCCTAGAGGAAAATAGCTACTTACGATTTGACAGCGTGTACCGCTTACGATCGCCATTTTGCTTACAAGCGCTTGCTAGCGCTTTTTTCTGCCAAACGCACCCGGTGTACTGTCCAATGCAAATGACGTCATGAATCGACGCTATACTGGTGATTCGTTTCAAAACATAGGACAGTATATGACGTCATACATTTGCGCCATATTGGAAAAGTGTTGGCGATTATTTTGTCATTTTGTGCTCCAAAAATCATTATATCCTTCCAATGGAGATCATCATCATCATCATTACAGCGCTTCACAAGTCCACTGCTGAACATAGGCCTCCCCCAAGTAATGCCACAAAGCACGGTCCTGAGCCACCTGCATCCATCGACTTCCTGCATGTCTTACCAGGTCGTCACTCCATCTAGTGGGGGTCGCCCTACACTACGCCTACCGGTACGAGGCTGCCACTCGAGAACCTTTCTTCCCCATCGGTTATCGGTTCTTCGAGCTATATGGTCGGCCCATTGCCACTTCAGCTTACCAATCCGTTGGGCTATGTCGGTCACTACTGGTTTCACTGCGGATATCCTCATTTCTGAGTCTATCACGCAGTGAAACTCCGAGCATAGCCCTCTCCATAGCTCGCTGAGCGACCTTGAGCGTCCTCATACGGCCAGCAGTGAAGGACCACGTCTCAGATCCGTAAGTCATCACTGGCAACACGCACTGGTTGTACACTTTAGTTTTCAGAGATTGAGGTATACCTGATGAGAAGATGTGTCGTAATTTCCCGAACGCTGCCCAGCCGAGTTGAATCCGCCGATTGACCTCTCGGTCGAAGTTGGACTTACCTAGTCGGACTATTTGTCCCAGGTAAACGTACTCGTCAACAACTTCGAGTATAGTGCTCCCAACAATTACCGGCATAGGTGTGACATGGACATTAAACATGATCTTTGTTTTGTCCATGTTCATCTTAAGACCTATCCGTTGGGAGACACCATTGAGGGCATTGAGCATAGTGCTAAGGTCCTCCAGCGATTCTGCCATAAGGACTATACCGTCGGCAAATCGAAGGTGAGTGATGTACTCGCTATTGATGTTAATACCGTATCCTTTCCAGTCCAGTAGCTTGAAAACGTCTTCCAACGCAGCGGTGAAGAGTTTCGGGGATATAACATCACCCTGTCTTACACCTCTCTGCAGTTGGATAGGTTTCGTACTCTGGTTCTGTACTCGGATAGCCATCGTAGCCCTACTGTACAAACACTTCAGCACTTCAATATACCGACAGTCAACTAGGCACCGCTGAAGAGACTGTAGCACCGCCCAAATTTCGACGGAATCAAAGGCTTTCTCATAGTCCACATACGCCAGGCAAAGTGGCAGATTGTACTCTTCGGACTTCTGTACAATTTGCCGAAGGGTATGTATGTGGTCTATGGTACTGAAGCCTTTTCGGAAACCGGCTTGTTCGGGAGGCTGGAAGTCGTCGAGTCTGCGTGCGAGACGATTCGTAATGACTCTCGAAAACAGCACGTAGACGCGGCTCAGAAGGGAAATCGGTCTGTAGTTTTTCAAGAGAGCGTTGTCGCCTTTCTTAAAGAACAAGACCACCGCGCTTCTGCTCCACGCCTCCGGAGTAATGCCACCATGAAGGACGGAATTGAAGAGCTTCTGAAGGACTTCAAGTACCGGTGTTCCACCCGCTTTCAGAAGCTCCGCTGTAATTCCATCCTCGCCTGGGGCCCTGCCTTTTTTAAGGTGGTGGAGAGCCATTCTAATCTCGCTCAGACTGACGTCCGGGATATCATCGGAATAGTGTCGGATAAGACTTGCTCTTGGATCGTTACTCACACTTGCGTGTGGCTCCAACGATGATGTGTACAGCTGCCCATAGAACCTCTCAATCTCACTCAGAATCTCAGGTGTCCCGGAAACGATGTTGCCACACTCAGTCTTCAGCCTTGACAGTTGGCTCCTTCTGGCAGACAGATCTCTGGCAAAGACTTTGGAGCCCTGGTTCCGCTCGATCGCTTCTTTAATACGAGATGGAGATACCAGCAATTATTCTATAATTTTTCATTCAGCGCACACACAATTAAAAATTGTTTTATTATGGCCGGATATCCGACACAATATGGCGGCGGCACGCCAGTACAATATGGTGTCAATTGATGATGTCATTTGTATTCGGTATCATACTGGAAACGTTTTAAAAAAACACTGGCAGGGCACGCATCGGACACTATAGGTTATAAACAACTATTTTAACTCATAATAGAGTTTTATTTGTATTTTTGTATGTGTATATAAAACTTTTATGATTCATTGTCTTGCAAATACAAAACGTATTCATTTTATATAGGTATATTATGTTGTATAGCCGACGTTTGTTTCGACATATGTTCCCGAACCTTTCTTATGAAGGCTATTTTATTTGGTGCTTTCCTAATGTCTTTAGGTAAGGAGAGCCAGAGTAGTGTAGTTTGAATAGTAATAATTGCCGATACAAGTATACCCTATTAAAATCCATTCCTGAATATTAGCCATTTTCCGAATGAAGTTTTAATATTTATCAGGGTCTCCATCCACTGAAAATCAGCGCTGCTGCAATACCTGCGTTAGCATACGCTGTCGGAATTCGTTTCGGAATTACATCACTCACGGAAAGTAATTTTCTCGCAGAAATGTATTTTTATTTATGTTTTACTTATCTTATATGTTATCTGTTCTTACTTCTAAATGTATATGAATGTATTGATACCAATAAAGCTTATGTTGAATGTATATGTGTATACGTCTGTGTCTAGATATTTGAGTTTTTATCAATAAGATGCTGCAGATAATCTCCAGTATCATTGAGCTCCACCACCTTTCACGACACCTGTATTGTAGGCCCCACAACAGCATATATTAATGTTAAATGTAGCTGTTAAGTGAGTAGTATAATTAAAGTCTTAAACTGAGCAACACGTCTCCTTTCATTGACACCTTTCATTCATTACACACCCACGGAATATAACAAATTACATACGGAATATAATAAAAACATAGTAAATTCTTATTCAACGAAATGACATGGCGAGACAGAGTGAATTATGCAAGGAAGATAACAGATTTTTTGGGGTAATTAAGAGCTATAACGAATAAGCTCGTAGTCAGTAGCATCTAGCTTTCCACACTCTTCAAATCTGAACACGACCGTGTATGAACTAGTGCTTTTTTATTTACATACCTTACCCATCATAAGTTATTACCTGACTATAATCTCGCCTGGAAGTGGAAATGAAGCCCTAGATAGTTAAAAAATACCTCTTCACACTTGTTTAAGAGATATCTACAACGTCGAAAAGACATGCACTGGCAAATTGTTTCAATTTTTTGCCGTAGACCTGACGAAAGACGTAATCAAATGGTTAGTTCGAACGCAACACGGAATGTTAATAATAAAAGGAGTAGACATCCGCCAAACGTTTCGTTAACCGATAGTAAAGAGACATGGGGGTTTGCAGAGGCGACAGACTTCCATACAGTAAGATGACACACTCAAGTTGATTCTTTCACTCTACCACTCTTAATTTTAACCCACCTTTAATACAGCTAAGGAACATAATATAATATAAATAAATATAAAACAAAATTGCAGTGCAGTAATAGCTACACACCAATATTTTAAACCTACAATAAGAATAAAATAAAATATACAAAGAAAAATAGTTTAAAATAGGTAAGAGGATAGTACCTACTCATATTTCTAGCAGGAAAGACTTTATTACGAGATTACGAGTGAGCAGCGAGCAGCGAGCGAGATGCGGGCGAGCTGTTCGTGCACCGACGTGTCCGTCAATGTCAACAAGCAAGTGTGAGCGCGTGAGTACATGTCCCGACGTAGGTGGGCCCGTAGTGGCCGCGGTCGAGCGAGGCGAGCGGGACGCACCGACGTAGGTGGGCATTTAGTGGCGGCGGTTGAGCGAAGCGGACGGGACTCACCGACGTAGGTGGGCCCGTAGTGGCGGAGGTTGAGCGAGGCGGGCGGGACTCACCGACGTAGGTGGGCACGTAGTGGCGGCGGTTGAGAGAAGCGGGCGGGATTCACTGACGTAGGTGGGCACGTAGCGGCGGCGGTCGAGAGAGGCGGGCGGGACTCACCGACGTAGGTGGGCACGTAGTGGCGGCGGTCGAGCGAGGCGGGCGGGACTCACCGACGTAGGTGGGCACGTAGTGGCGGCGGTTGAGCGAAGCGGGCGGGAATCACCGACGTAGGTGGGCACGTAGTGGCGGCGGTTGAGCGAAGCGGGCGGGACTTACCGACGTAGGTGGGCACGTAGTGGCGGCGGTCGAGCGAAGCGGGCGTGACTCACCGACGTAGGTGGGCACGTAGTGGCGGCGGTCGAGCGAGGCGGGCGGGACTCACCGACGTAGGTGGGCACGTAGTGGCGGCGGTCGAGCGAAGCGGGCGGGACTCACCGACGTAGGTGGGCACGTAGTGGCGGCGGTTGAGCGAAGCGGGCGGGACTCACCGACGTAGGTGGGCACGTAGTGGCGGCGGTTGAGCGAAGCGGGCGGGACTCACCGACGTAGGTGGGCACGTAGTGGCGGCGGTCGAGCGAGGCGGGCGGCGGAGCGTGGCGCGCGGGCTCGTACTCGGCGGGCGGCGCGCGCGCCAGCGTCAGCGTCGAAGACATCAGCGCGTTTGGCCCGTCCACGCTGCCCGCGGATACTGCACACGCCATTTATTTATAGAACCAACGCTTTTAAACATGTTAAGATCACCTAAGATCTGCGTCAAAAATATAAAAGATGTGTATTTGATCACGTAATACATAAAAAGCAAAGGATTCTTTCAGATTAAAAAAAATTTGTGAACAAATAACGTTAAAATGCTTGAGCGGCTCGAAAGACCAAAATGTTAGAATGCTTCTTTGAATTCTCAAGAAAAAAGTTATAAAATTAATACAGCTACTCTGCTTTTGAACTGAACTTTACATCGAAAAAGGGGGGTTTTGACAATACTCTTACTCCCCGGACAAAAATATAACCGGCCGGTAATAAAACCTCATAAAATTTGCAAATAAAAATTTATGTAAATTGGTCCAGTTCCAGAAGTAAAGATATAAACGTTTACGTATACGTTTGAATACTGATTCTGATAACGCACTTAATGGAAACTACAGGGTTTGTGTTACATGTTATAGAACCAATGCTATTAAAGGTGTTTTAATCACCTTAAATCCGCGTTAAAAAAAGATGTGAGTTTGATCACGTAATACATTAAAGGCAAAAGATTGACTCAGCACTCAAACTTTTTGTGATCAAAATAATGTTATAATGCTAAAATGGTACTTCAAATGTTCGAAGGACCAAAAAAAATAGAGGTTCAAAAAGCATTAGAATGCTAGTTCTAAAACCTCGAAGGACCAAAAAATGATAGGATAGTCCAAAAAAGTAAGAATGTTAATTTAAATGCTGGAAAGAACAAAACACTATAAAAATACTAGAATAATAGTTCAGAGGCTACTAGGACCAAGAAAACTTTATAATAATTAATGCTAAATTATATGGACGATGTAATGATAAGATCGCATGATCGAATTTACACACCTATGACAAAAAATTTGCAGTAACTTAAGCTACATCCATTAGGTCACCTAAAACTTTTTCTGCCACTTTAAACAGAACAGAACAGAACAAAAACTTTTTTATTCAATATAGATTATAATTAATACTTATTGGAATTATTTTTTTTAATTTACCACTAATACGGAAAAAAACCTCTGTCCTGGGATGAACCAGCAAGAAACCCAGCGGGACTTTAAAAAAACAGCTTAAAATCATGTATATTACAATTAAAATCACATAACAAGTTAGAAACAGCTTGGTATCGACCCCCCCCCCTTCCCAGGGGTTATTATCATTCATAAATTCCTTAATATTATAATAACATTTTTTATACAAACTTAGTTAAATAAAGTTTTTGAACTTTCTGCAGGTCAAATTTTGTATATTTTCTGGGATTTTGTTGTAAAAACGTATATTTCGCCCCAAGAAAGCTTTTGTCTGTTCTTGAAATAAGGTGAAATATTTGGTAAAACTTATAGCTAGGTGGTTATTTTGTTAGAAAAGAGTAAAAAAATATATTTTACTCAGAAATATTAGTTATATTTTGTATTTATTAAATTAAATGAATCTAAATTCGGAAAATCTTAAAAGAGAAAGAATTAAAAAAGTTAAAATTCTGTAAAAAAAATTAAAGAACAAACCACAGAGGCATTCTTTTGTGTATATGCATGCAATAGACTAGGAGAAGCATATCAAAATATTATTCTCACAAAGAAAGTCTCGATCGACTGTCTCATTTCATATTAAGTAAAAATTTTCAAAACTGTGGGGTAATAGCTTAAGAGAATCTATTACCCCATCTGGTTTCCGGCGCACCAATAAAACTTTATTTTCAAAGATAGATAGCGATGAAACAATCTTATGCATTTCCAAATGTAAAATACTGCGATTGGCAACAAGAAGAAAAGTTAAAGGTTGATGTCGCAATCGATTACTCACTTACCAAGCGTACAATAAATTCTCCCTTATAACGGATAGATCTAGATCAAATCATATCTATTACGGCTTCATTCGTCAAGGGAAATTCTGGATGAGTAGTTAATTTTAAATTCATCACTATTTTAATGCGTGAAATGTTTTACATTATAAAAAAATTGGTCCTTCGAGCAAGATATAAAAACGTGATGCTAAAAAGAATATTATAAATTACTATGAAAAAATTGAATTAGTCAGTCGTACTCTTACTGGCGGAGCTGTGCAGACTCTTGTCCATGTGCTTCAGTTCCATCTGGTCATGGTGTATCCATAGGTCGGGAGGCTTGATAGCGGCCGACGCGGAAGCTTTTTGATAGGTGCTGCAATAGAAATTTGTTGTGTAGCGGCGACGTAAGAGAATTTAATACCCCATATCAACCCGTGGCTATCGAAAATGGAACGAAAGATAGGCGGCAGCAACTTCTTGATAACGAGCTAAATAATGAAAGACTGCGATTGTTGTGTGCTAAGTATGGCAAATAAGGAGAACTCTGTAAGGTAATCTATAGGGGCTACTTGTGTTTTGTAATGACTCAAAATATTATAATTTTTGATAGGCTGTAATAAATTAACGGATGAATGAATGAATAAAATTATCTTTAGTAAAATTTTATTATCTAGAAAAATCAAACGTCCGGTACTGCTAACTGCTATGTTCGTCTGAGGCAAAAGGGACATTTTTCTCAAGATCAAGGTATTCAACACAGGAAGTAGATAACCCCATATATCAGTGCCATATATATATATATATATATATATATATATATATATATATATATATATATATATATACATATACAATATGTAACGTAATTAACGCACACCCTACGCACACCCCAATAAATATATTATGTTATAATCATAATACATACACTGAATATTTAGTTAAACATTTTATGCACTGATTATATATCAAATTAGTTATACTAATTCCGGAAGAATGTTGTGTTCACAGTACAAATTTACGAATGCAAAGACTTTAACGTGCTTGAAATAAAGTTCATTTTTCTTTATTTTTATTGAATAACAGAATTAGTAACAATGTAAATAAAACTTCACTCTTACAAGTCTCATTGCCTTAAGTTCCATTCAGTTCGTTTTGACTGTACAGATTTAGTGTGACTGTAATTTACGTAGTTTTAATTATTTTCGGGATAAAAAATAACCTATATTAAAAATGATAGGAATCGATTCCGTAAACGATTCTGAACAAACTACTTTCTCAAAGTGCGTTAATTATGTTACGTGTTGTATATATATATACATGCGCATCTTGTATCGGGCGACAGCGACAGCGCGTAGTGGCGGCAGCACAAGAGCGGCCGCCAGCACCGAACGGTACGCTACAGGCGAGGGGCGAGGGACGAAGGGGGCGCACCTGGTGTCGGGCGACAACGGCAGCGCATGAGCGGCGGCATCACAGCGACAGCACAAGCGCGGCAGCCAGCGCCGAACGGTACGCTTCAGGCAAAGGGCGAGGGGCGGGGCGCACCTGGTGTCGGGCGACAACGGCGGCGCATGACAGCGGCAGCACAGCGAAAGCGCAAGAGCGGCCGCCAGCACCGAACGGTACGCTACAGGCGAAGGGCGAGGGGCGGGGCGCACCTGGTGTCGGGTGACAGCGGCGGCGCGTGGCGGCGGCAGCACAGTGACAGCGCGAGCGCGGCCGCCAGTGCCAGCACAGCACACGCACCGCCCGCGCTCGCCCACAGCCACGCGGACGTCGCGCTCGCCAGCCCGCCGCCTTCCCCAGTCTCTGCGTAATGGAACACGTACACGCGTTATTGGCTTATTGGAGTTAGCCTGATTAGATCCTCACTGGCACCACAGAATAAATAATAGTTACAAGAACAGAATAATCACTCTGTGATGGCGAACTTGCGAGCATAAACCTAGTTACAACGTTGTTAACGTTCATAATACTTTTCACGCGTGATTAGTCTAGAGAACCAAAGACCCTTATTACTATAATTGAGGCTTTTTATCTTAGTCCTCAAGGGCAGCAACGCATCTTCATTTTGATTTTTAATAGCAAATAGATGTAGATGTTTATAGGCCCCAGTAACCACCAACCACCAAGTGGACTGTATGCTCGTTTGCAATCCATATTCTATAAAAAATTCTACTTAAAGATACTTTGCAATTTTAAAGTTGGTAAGAATTACTTCAGCCACATCCGCTCAATAAAAGTAATTATTGAGCAGATGTGTGTGTTGTGTAATAATTATAGATTATTCAATAGATGTTGAGTACTAATAATTACTTTCATTGAGAAATCCATTATATTAAATAATAGATTTCCCCAAAGTAACGCCTGATTCTATTAATTATTTTGCAATTGTGCTGCGTACTTTGTTATAATAATAAAATAAGTTTCAATAATATGTAATTTTAATAATAAAGTAAGTGTTTATGGTTGTATAATATGTTGTAGTTTCACCCTTAATGCACCTCTATGTTACTGTTGTAACCCATTAGTCTACTGCTCAACATAGGTCTGCCTCTTAAATTGGCTCATAGAGGTATATTCGCCATAGTTACCGCGTACAGCAAGTGGGTTTGCAACTATATTTTTAGTCGTTATTAGGTAGACGCTGATGCCTATCGCCTGATTTGTTTACCTTTGTCGCTCTTATGACATCCACGGGATGATATGGAATAGTAGATATTCTTACACCGTATCTTATACGCTGGGCACCTCCACGAGAAAAACATTTTTCTTCAAAGTACTTTGTCTGGTGCAACACCGTGCATTCTCCCGCGTCGGCATTTCAGTAGTCAGCTAATTAGACACTATGCGCGACTGACCTCATTCACTAATATTCGTCATTTTTAATGATTTGAAGTTTGCCTACCAATACGGTCGCGTGACCCAACCTTATATTTTTTACCAAATTTAGTATATTGCGAAATCTCAATAAACCTTTATTTTTTTTCTCAAGATTGTGTTTAAATCATACATCATCAGATCAAGTAAAGGGTGTTTGGTATAACAAGACCATACATGCTCCATATGGTCGAAAATTTCCTTTTGGAACCCATTTTTCTTTATTTAGAATTTTTAACGATTTTTATGGAACAGCATTTGTGAAAATCACCAAAAGCATCCACTTACCATTTGGTGGACTATGTGCTCGTTTGAAACCCTACTTTTAATAAAAATATTTTTTTCATGCAATTTGAAAAATATTTCGCTACGGAACCTTAAAAATAAAAAGTTGAATAAGAAAATTTGAAAGTTGAAGAATGCGGATTAAGAATGGGTGAGTTAACTGTGAAATGCCTTTTGTACGCCGATGATCAAGTCATTCTTGCGTCGTCGGCGGCCGAGTTGCAAATGATGGTTACATTAATGAACGGATCATTAAAAGAAGGGGTATGAAGGTGAACGCAAGTAAGACGAAGGTTATGGTTTTTGAAAGAGAAGAAAGTAAAACGATTTGTGAAATAAGAATAGAAGGGGAGTTGATCGAGCAAGTAGATGAGTTTGTATATTTGGGCTGCGTATTTAGCAGGGATGGGAGATATGATAAGGATATAGAACGACGAGTGAATGCGGGAAATAGAGTAAATGGGGCCTTGCACTCTATTGTGAAGAGTCAAAATGTGTCGAAAAAGGCACGTATGGCAATTCACAATGCTGTGTTGGTTCCTACTTTAACGTATAGTAGTGAAAATTGGGTGTGGCAGAAGAAGCACGAGAGTAGAATAAACGCAGGAGAAATGCGGTCGTTAAGGAGTATGTTAGGGCTGAATCTGAATGACAGGGTAAGAAATTGTGTAATAAGAGAAGAGTGTGGTTTGCAAGATGATGTTGTGACCAGGATTAAGAAAGGAATGCTTCGATGTTTTGGTCATGTGGAAATAATGAATGAGGAAAGAGTGACAAAGAAAATTTATGTTGCAGAAGTGAATGGCAGAGTCGGAAAAGGGACGTCCTAGGCGAAAATGTATCGACCAAATTGGCGATTCATTGGAAACGGGCCAAATTGGGAGTACCCTTAACCGACGAGCATGTATGCGTAGGTGTATGGATGTGAAGGAGGCGAGAGAGGTGTGTCAGGATCGTGCTAAATGGAAATCTGTAGTCTCTGCCTACCCCTCTGAGTGACAGGCGTGAGTGTTTATGTTATGTTGAATAAGACTGCATACAAGGCGCACTTTAGCCAGTTAAATACATTTCGATAAGATATTATCGATAAAGTAAATCACTACAAAAGTAAGATTTAAATTAGCAGAATTTAACATATTTGTATTTATTTTAAATTCAATTGCTTTGTATTCAGATGATTATTATTATAAAATGTTTTTTTTTCTTATCCATTGAAGTACAAATTGAATAAAACTATATTTACGGATTTTATTGCGTTTAATCAACTGTTTTAACTTATTTTTTCATACCCGACGTTTCCGGTGCTTTACAGCCACCATGGTCACGTGGGGGGGGGGGGGGGGCTGAAATGTTTGACCTTCCAATGTCATAGTCTGGCTACCTTCAGTTTTTACTCTTTCTCTTTTGCATTACCAATCTGTTCTAACGTTAGTTTGTGCTAAATATATGGTTATTTCGGTAAAATATATTGTCAATAATTTACTTATGATATTAATTAACTTAAAACAACCTTGCTTGTTCGTATAATCGTATGACAAATCTTGTATCCATGTTCGAATTACATTTTTACAATCAGACATTTTTTATGGATACATCCAGAAATATAAAAATTGAAACTGTGAGGTTATAAAAAACATAATCAACTTGGACTGCCAGTTGACGGGTTCTCCTAAAATAAAAAAGACAAAGTTGAATCGAATTCACGACAAAGTATCGAATGTGGTAAGTTCTTAAGAGACATCTAGTTTTATTTATATAACATAATTATAACGTCTTTACAGACACAGTATCAAAATGAGGTTAGAAAATTTATTCATTTCAAAATATCAAACAGTTCACAAAACTTTTCTAGAAGTATACAGAAGAAGCATTACTAAGTACAAACCCATTGCTGTGGTGTAGACGACAGGTGCGCTAAACGGACCAAGGCCTTTACTGTTCCGGGCCTGGATCTTGAAGACGTAAGTTGTTCTGGGCCGTAAGCGATCGACTCTGGCTCGGGTGCGGTCGCCCAGCACGGCAACTGCCGTCCACTCCTCCGGGGCTCCAGATCCTGTGCTGGCACCTGACCGCTGGATTGCGTACATTATCACGTATCCTGGTACAAAAAATGGGTGATAGATAAAACACAATTAAATTTCGTAAAACATTAAGAATATTGAATTTAAATACAAATTTAGACCGAAAGCTTGAAATATCTTCTCTATTTCGAGAAAAAAGGTCACGTCCCTCAACATACTCGACGTCGTCAAAGGAGTGTCAAAAGGAGATGTGGTGACCGTGTAGGAGCTGCGTCAAGTCGGTCAGAGTCCGAAATACTGCAACAGGTTCTGACGGATTCCTAGGTCCTAGTAGTGCATAGTTGCCCTGGGAGATAGGTATAGACAACTGTTTACCATTTGTTTCCAGACTTTTTGTGCAAGGTCCTCAAAACATGGAAAAATGCAATGTTGTTCACTTTAAGAAAGAAGGCAAGACCGCATTCTGTTTCTTCGTGCCGTCCCATCTGCACCGATGCTCAGCTGAAGGGCGGGGCGGCACGTGCCACGTACAACTCACTCACCGGTGAGCGGGCCGTTTTGCTTGAGTGGCGGCGCCCAGCTGAGGTCCGCGGCGCGGGCGGGCGGGGCGGCGGGCGCCACGCGCAGCTCCCGCGGCGCGGAGCTCGGCGCCGCCGCCAGCGTCGTGTTGCTCACCAGCATCGCCCACGCCGCCTCGCGCCCGCCTGCGGAACACCGCGTAACTCTACTTATCTATTCAAAATCATCTTGCCATTTCAAAGTTATTTTATATAATAAGGGTGACAAACAAAGATGTCGTAGCCCATAAATACCTACATTTATCCTCAATTAAAAATAAAAATGCAAATGCCTTGTCACCCCTGAGAGCTTGGGTGGAATTGCTCGTTTTCAGGTATAAAGGACCTTCGGTTCTCTGCACTCACACGTGAAGTTCGTCAACATGCACTGGGGCAGCGCGGTGGGCACGTCCTTGCCCTAAAAACATCTTAGAAATGAGGGGAGACCTGTGCCGAGCAGTAAGACGTATATATGATGTAACTTTAATTTTTAAAGACATAGATGAGTACTTAAAGATTTTGATATGCATCTGGTGGTCTTATACAAGTTTTCCGCATAGCTGATGAGAGTATGAAAGACGATAATGTATTAGATACAAATTACAGATACAACTTATACGAATAAAGTCATAGCATTGATGATGAAATATTCTAAGAATTATCTCAAGGTTTGAGTACGTAAGGACAAGTAAAGGTTTTAAAGTGTCAAGAATTATTTTTGGTAGAGGAAAGAATAACGCACATAAATAAAGATGGAGTGGTGAAAACTCAACTAGCTTATTGCGTGAGCATTGCTTAGCAAAACATAATTTTTCATGTTATGGGAAATCAATTCAAGAGCAAGTAATAAAATAGACAGTTTTTTAGCATTTATAAAAAAGGAGCTTTTCCATTAACATTTGGAGAAACTCTTTCAAAACCCGGTTTTAAGGGGGGATATAAAATAATCTATTGCAGAATCCCTACAAACCTATGGCTAGTTTAATTTACATTCCTGTACATCAGAAACAAGGACGCTGTAGCCTTTATCCAAGAAATAAGGACAGAAAAAAAGCAGTAAAAATTATCTAATTAATATCTATTTATATTTTGGGTTCATATTATTTATTTTGTAATATAAAAAATAATTTCAGTTATTGATTTTTATTTCAAAGAATATAGATTATTTAGTATTTTATACGTGTAATTTTATACGTGGTAGAGCAGTACTGCCACGCTGTACTTATATTATGGTTGTAGCACGAATGGGTCGACTCGACCGGGGTAGGACCTCGCTATCACAGAATACCAGCGTAAAATAGCAGCTTAATGCTGCTGTGTTTCGTATGGTGAGTGTAGAGAACCGGAGACCCATTTTACTGGAATCAAAGCACTCGATCTTAGTCATCAGGGGTAACAACGCATCTGCCTTTGATTCGTAATTGAGGATAGACGTAGATGCCTATGGGTCACAGCAACCACTTACCATCAGGTGGACTGTGTGCTCGTTACTTTTAACTGTAAATTGATTAAAAGATCTATTGAAGGCGTCAGATCGTTGTGTAAGTCTGCAGATATCATTGCTCTACAAGAAACGTGGCTGTTCCAATATGATCTACTATACCTTGGTGCGACGGAAAGTAATTTCGGCAGTACCGGCACATCTGCGATAGACCCTGCGGCTGGCCTCATAACGAGTCGGCCTTATGGAGGAGTGGCGTTACTTTGTCGAAAGAGTGTATTTCCGTGTGTGTCGGTTGTACAGTTCTAATCCTGCGCTGATTAGATTAGAGATTATGTGCAATTAAGATTGCGCTTACATCATTGCAATCTGTGATAGTGTGCAATGTGTTTAAGCCTATCAACAGCCGCGAAAACTTAGCCGAGTTCACGGATTGACTAAGTTCACTGAATGCTGTTATTGACGAAAGTGATGTCAAGACGGCATTCATCCTTGGTGACTTTAACTCGGATCCGAAAGAGTTATTTTATAATGAGTTGCGAACCTTCTGTACGGAGCAGTTATGGACATGTGCGGATGTAAGTAAGTTAGGCACTTTAACACAGACCTACACGTACATAAGTGAGGTTCATGGCACCAAGAGTTGGTTGGATCATTGTCTTGTAACGGGCGCAGCGTGGCGTTGTGTTACTAGTGCTAAAGTTAAACATGATATCTACTGGTCAGACCACTTTACGTTGTTTATTTATTGTAACCTAAATATGGTTGAATCTAAAACGATTGCAAGTGATTTTGTTTCTAATAAAGTAATATGGGGTGATCGTTCTCTTTGTCAAATAAATGAATATTATAGGTTGTGTAATGAAAAATATAAAAATATTTATTTTCCTGTAGAATTTCAAAATTTTTGTTATAAGTACTGTAGTGATATTAAACATAAATCTGTTATTGATGATATTTATAAACAAATAATATCAACATTATCTCACGCAGCTGTTGACACTTTCGAATGTAGAGGTATGCGTAGACCTAGATCAAGAAGTATCCTAGGCTGGAAAAAACATGTCAAAGATGCTCATGGCTAGATCTAGGTTTAATGAGTTGGTATCCTATGGGAGGCCTAAGTGTGGCCCCATATATAATGAAATGATCAATAGTCGTAAAATATTCCAAAGCAAGCTAAAATGGTATCAAAACCACCAAGATCAAATTCGTATGGACATATTGGCAACTCACCACGCAAATGGTGATTTTAAGAAGTTTTGGAAATCTACCAACAAATTAAGCCCTGTATCTGGCCTCCCGGTAAGTGTTGATGGTGCAAGTGACCCTCAGTATAGCTAATAATTTTAAGGATCTTTTTACTGTTAAACCTCCACTGAAATCACCCAAGAAAATTGATGCTGAGGGAAGTCAAAAATGCTTTAACACTGTAACAGTAATTCCAGTTAGGACTGTATCAAGCATTATTAGTTCCATGACGAGAAGAAAATCACCCGGACACGACAGCTTCAGTATTGAGCACTTACAAAATGCGGGTCCGCACCTTCTTAGGGTACTGAGCATTCTTTTTAATATTTGTCTGGCGCATTCATATTTCCCGTATGAATTATTGAAGACGGTTATCGTTCCCATTGTCAAAAACAGGACGGGTGACATATCAGCTGGGTCCAATTATAGAACTATTTCGTTAGCGACGATAGTGGCAAAAGTGTTTGACGGTGTGCTTAAATCTCAGTTGGGTAGTCATTTAGTGACCCATGATTTACAATCTGGTTTCAAACGAGAGCTACCAACCGAAAACGCTATACTGAGCCTTAAGCATACCGTCAGGTACTAGCGTACGGACGGACAAGCATACACCTGTGTATGCTTGTTTCCTAGACCTGTCCAAAGCCTTCGACCTTGTCGATTATGATATCCTGTGGAAAAAGGCATTACAGGTGGGTTTGCCTCCCGACATATTAAACCTTTAATTTTTGGTATGGTAAAGTAAAGTAAAGTTACAGCCTATATACGTCCCACTGCTGGGCACAGGCCTCCTCTCATTTCTGAGAGGGTTTTAGGGCAAGGAATAGTCCGCCGCGCTGCCCCAATGCGTGTTGGCGAACTTCACATGTCTTCGAAATATTTTTTAACTTATTCCTTAGACATGCAGGATTCCTCACGATGTTTTCCTTCACCGTCGAGCACGTGGTAAATCAGCACTTAAAATTGCAATTAACAATTTCATTGGTGCCGGCGGGGATCGAACCCGGTTTGCTCGCGTATCGTGAAATTTATAGCGAGCGCTAAATTTGGTATGGTAATCAAATAAATTGTGTCAGATGGGCCGGTGTATATTCTGAGGCTTACAGAATCGACGGTGGTGTAAAACAGGGCGGTTTGACATCTCCAGGTCTTTTTAACTTGTACATCAATGCACTGATCGAGAGGCTTAGTGAGGCACGTGTCGGTTGTCACATCGGAAAAGTTTGCTTAAACAACGTTAGCTACGCGGACGACATGGCACTGCTGGCCCCTTCGATCAGTGCATTGAAACAACCGCAAGGAATATGTGAAACACTAAAAAGAGTGAGTACATGGTGTTCAAAGCGGGTAGCAAATGTTCTGGTAACGAACTCCTTTTTGCCTATACAGAGCCCATACGGGCTTACCTCTTAGTAGGGTGTATCAGTTTAAGTATCTGGGGCATATTGTTACTGGTGATCTTAAAGATGATGCTGACATGGAAAGGGAGCCTGCAGATTTTATCGTTGTTCTGACACAGTAAAAATTACGCTTTTCAAAGCCTACTGCATATCATTTTATTCGAGTAGCCTGTGGGTCAGATATATACAGAAATCATTCGGCGCCATTCGTATTCATTATAATAATGCTATCAGGGTGCTTTTGTGGCTGCCGCGTTTTTGTAGTGCGCCGTGTATGTTTGCGGATGCGCAAGTCGACAGTTTCCCGGATATTCTGCGTAAAAAAGCAGGTTCCCTATTGCGTTAAATCCGTGGCAGCCGTAAAATCATTCTGAAAAGCATTGCTGAAAATAGGTACTGTCCACTTTTAGCTCATATGTGTGCTATAACTCGCGCTTTCTAAGTTATTAAGTACTAACATAGACATTAAGCTTAGATTCTATCTACTAACCACTTTGGATCTTTATTGTCTGACCAATAAACATTTTTTTATTGTACGTTAGTCTCTCTAAAACTCAACAATATTTGATAAAATTTTTTGTGTGTTTGAATGGGTCCCTAGATGGTTTAGATTCACATTTGTACCCGCTAGGGGGCGCCGTTGTCGAGTTTCAGAAATGAGTATCTGCTTCTGATGTCATGACGAGACTGTACGTGATAAAAGACTGCAAACTTCCCGAAGCGTCGGTACTTCTACATCTTTAGACTATTCAAAAAAAATCTCTAAATGAACACTGTGTTCAAGGATGGTTGTAATATGACTAGGAAAATACTGTCGGAAACCTTTACATTTAATACGTACCTTTGATTAGTTTCACTGCGAACTCATAAGTTGTGTACGGCTTCAAGTCGTCGAGCATGCAGTTGAGGTCGCTGGCGTTGTACGTGCGCACGCGCCCGCCGCTCGTGGACCACCGCACCACGTACCGACGGCCGTCCGTAGCCGTCTGCGATCACACGTAATAATGATTTCTTATGTTTACGCGAATCCTACACGTTTAAAGGAAACTAAGTTTTAAGAGGTTTTAAGGCTGGGCACACTACCATGCATGTACAAGGGATCCTATAATTAATTAAATTAAATCTCAAATAAATGGCAAGACTTTAAGATACTATAAACTCATTCTGCGTGGATCGGACCAAAAATTTATAATTTTAAACTGAAGATAACCGTGGTTCTATAACATAAGGATGATCTCCGCTATTACCATGGGTGGTGTAAGATCGGGAATTTAAAATTAGTTAATATATGCGATAAAATCCGTAAAAACTAGTTTTATTCAAATGTGTTCGCGTAAATACATGAAATCATCAACATCGTACCTATATATTTGCCTGATGTGATATTTACTGACATTAAATTGTTACATAGATTTGAACTGATATTATTTAAATTGTCTGTTTTACAGCTGTGTGCTAAAAAAATTGTGAGTCGATAATAGTTTTTCATTATAAAAAGGACAGAATGTTTGAAATTTTTTTATAAATTTTTCTTCACTATTTGACTATAACCTATATTACTTATTCTGAACCTTCTCTGCAAATTTTGCCGGTTATAGTAAAATAGCCCTATATGTAAATGCCATCAGTTTTAGGCCATTCACATATAGGGCTATTGGGACAAATTTAGAGCTTAAACTTAAAATGTCATAATTTAAGTCCAGACCATATTATGTTACAGAAATATTGACACTGTAAAATTAGAGACTAAGCTCGAGATCGTCACTGAATACCGACCTTAATCAGAACGTGTGTACATTGACAATCATGTTTGTTAACATAGAATACTATAATACACACGTAATAGAACGGGGGAGTGGGCGGAGCCCGTGTAGCCACTAAAATGTCACTAACACGTCAATTCATACGTATAAATGTCCACACGAATGTTTTTGACGTTACAATCGTTTCCAAATTTCCCATGCAAATTATTTAGAAAATGCCAAATTGCACGCTACTTACAAATAAATATGCATAAAAATCTGTCTGTCAACATCGCGAATCGGGTTTGTAGTAGTGATAATACGACGTTATTGTTTGTATGTGTGCTCCCGGCGACGCCTTTCCTCGTACAAAATAAGGTTGACAGCCATTCTATTGTGTATTATAGTATTCTATGTTTATTGTTATCTTGTTTTATAAATTCAACAAATTTTTCACCAAATTTTTCAATTATAACTTAGTTGTGAAGTTAGCTTTGGAAGCAAAATAAATTTTATATTATTTTGGTATTTAGAATACACTTGTTACGCACCTGTCCTTTAGGCAGAGTGGGGTCAGTCCAATAAACAACAGCCGTTGTGCCACTCAGCATTATTACCTAAAACCAACATTTTAGTTCTATATTTCATTTTATATATATAATAAATTGAATCAGGCATTGCTCTGCGCAAATCCATTATGTCAAAGATGTTAAAAGTTTATTAGCTAAGATGCGCGTAATAAAATAAAATGATGTGTCGTCTCATCGCCCTTCAATTCCAGTCACTTACGACTTAGAGGTCAGCCACTGAAACACGTGTAGTATTATCGACGATGGTCTGTCTTTCCTAGTTGTTGGGAGCATTGGTGTTGAGATTAGTGGTGATGGGGATAGTGCACGCAATAGACGGAGGGCGGAAGGTGCTCTTAAAACTAGGTAAGACACAACATTTTATTTTATTACGCAAATCTTAGTAAATAAATAGTAAATTTTTAACATCTTTAGCTAAAACAATTTAATACGTATTACCGTTTGCTATAAAACCGCAGGGCCACGCTCATTCAACACTTTTTTTTAACTTTTACTATTAAAAACAATAGTACGGCTCACCTTAAGTCCAACTGGGGGTATAAGTGGTGGTTGGTCGTCTTCGTGTTCTGGATCATCCACATCATCCGGATCGTCCGGATCGTCCACGTCATCCGGTTCATCGTCCGGCGCTAAAGCGGGCCGCGTGCGTACCGTCGCGTAAACTGCCGGGCCCAGACCCAGCGCGTTGCTCGCTCGTAATGAAATCACGTACTCCGAATTCGACTCTGTTCCGCGGTGATAAGGTTTAAAATATTGTAATGTTTAGTATAACATCGGTTTTTAAATCATCGTCGGCAAAATTGGATATTGTATGTACTAACTAGTTTTAATATAATTTAATTTAGTTTAATTATTGTTTATTTTAGTTGATGAATTAATATAATATATGTCGCGGCACGATAGTTGTCTCTGGTTCTCAACTAAATTAGGTTTATTACAATCATTTAACTTAAAGATTAACAAAAGAGTTCACCCATATTGAGCCATCCGTTTATACAAAATTATTATAGTTTGCGAGGGTGCGTGAATTTTCACTACGGCGAATTTCCCGTGGCCTGGCCGTTAGTAAGTTTCAACATTTTATATATTATATATTTTTTATTGTTAAAACAATCACAAAAATATTTTGCATACGAATGGATGTAAGTGCCCGTAGTGGCAGAAGGAGGAACTAAATTAAGACTATTTAAGCGCTTGTGGATTTTTTGTATCAAGCCTGTATCTAATTTTCGGTCACCTAAAACGTAAATTTTATACGCGATAATTCGATCTCAAAATTCAATAATTTAGTTTTAAAGCCGACTTTTAATTCACTACTGATTTAATCGGGCTGCGACATATATAATGAATTTAATGAAAGGAGATTAGGGAAAACAATATTGTAAACGAAGACAGACGTAATATAGAACCCTTCAATTTGTCAATTGGTCATGAATAGGCAGACTTCTTCAATCAGAGACAAGATGTGGAAATTTCAATTTCAGGAATTGTTAACGTTCTGTGCAACTGACCCAGATTGCGTATGACGTAGGAGCGTAGATGTGCAGGAAGCTCATGTGAATGCTCGTCGGGAACCCCCAGCCCCCAGCCCAGCCAGTAGCCGCGTACCAGCACACCCTCCCCCTCCCCTTCAGACTCCGCTTCTCCCTCGCCTCCCCACCACACGGAGATCCAGTCGCGCCCCGCTCGCGCTGCATAACACACGTTCTTTTTGTTCAAAAGAGGCGTCACCATCGATGATAACTGTTCGTGACCCAAATACCAGATAGGCCGATTTAACATTGCTAATAATTAACACTGGCGACAAAGATCCATAATAACGTAGCACTCAATACTAAATAACCTTTATTTCATTTAAACGACATGGAAAGAAGTGAGACAAAAAAGCAAGAAATAAGTTTCAACATCAGATTGATAACGTTGTCAACGACGCCCAAGTCTGCCAATACATTAAGACAGGTACGAATTTAATGATCTTTAATGCTTATTTGAGATTAAAATGACTTTTGGAGATTGACTGTAATAAGTAATAGGTTGCAAAAACAAAAATTACCTCAGAAATTAGTAGGCATCTGATGGAGTGAGAAATTTTCGCCATATGTATTTTATTAAACTAATACAGAACATGTGCAAAAAAGACGAAACCGTCCCCGTCCGAATTCTAGGGTATAAAACATTTCTGAATTAAAAAAAAATTGAAGCTGAAGAGATTTATTGGACCAATCATCTGTTAGATAGACAATATCTCACATGACGAAGAAAAATATTTTAAAGGTTCCATGTCAGACTTCATAAACTAAAACCTATGAAGTTTTAAACACATCTGCCTTTAGAAAAGAAATACTTAATGTTAGTGATTGTAAGACTTAAGATAATAAACACTAAGTAGACAGTTATTTTGTAGATTTAATTGATTTGTTAAAGTATTTTATTTAGTCATTTATTTATCTATTTAACTATAAAATAATGTAACTTTAAATAGACGTCCAAAACGTCTGCAATCAAAAATTATATAACGACATGCTTCGATGCTGTGTGATCTAATCTAATGAAATAGTTATAAGTTAATATTACATTTATCTCTACATATAATTACTACGTATACAAATTGTAGAAACAACATTAAACAAACGTGTATACATACACATTAGTGTTCACATTAGATGAAGGCAATCTTGTGAAAAATGTTATTCACATCTGAACTAACTGACACGCGCATCGGTAAAGTGGGGTCTTTTGCAATATTATTATTGAACTTGGTTTGACACGCTGCCGCGTGTCTAGATTCGTATTCCCCGCCCAAGGCAAAGGTAATAAACCACACACAATTTGTAAATAAACATTTTATTTGAATTTTTTTACGATCAATTTTTCAGAAAAAAAATCGTAAAATTATTTCTATACGTTTAAATTACTACGTATACAAATTGAGTAGAAAGAACACTAAATTAGGCGTGAGTGATACAAAAACATAAAATCGTGTATATAGTGTTCACATTAGATAAAGGCAATCTTGTGGAAAATGTTATTCACATCTGAACTAACTGACAAGCGCATCAGTAAAGTGGGGTCTTTTGCAATATTATTATTCATGTTCCCCGTCCAAGGCAAAGGTAATAAACCACACACAATTTGTAAATAAACATTTTATTTGAAATTTTTTACGATCAATTTTTCCTAAAAAAAATCGTAAAATTATTTCTATACGTTTAAAAACTGTTTCTGATAACGCACTTAACGGGGACCACAGGGTTTCTGTAACATGTTGTATATAAATCACTACGTTTCACCCGCGTACATTTCGGCATCAAAAATTATTTTACATTAAGTAATTTTCCGTCATAAATATTCTGTAAATAGACAAATAAGTCAGTGAGCGAATGAATAGAAGGCGAGAGAATAAACGAACGAATACTTACTTGTGAGTTTTGGTGGCGGCGAAGGTACGCGAGCTTCGTTACGTTCGCGGGCCTGCGTGGAAACTGATACCCACTCGCTGAACGGGCCCGAGCCGTTAGCGTTGATGGCACACACACGCACCTGAAACACACAAGTTTACTGGACTCGTCCAAGTGTTCAGAAGCAAAATTATGTTGTCAAAAATCTTCATTAAATACGAATAAAGTTCAGTCTGTGATCAGTCTCATGGGCATACAAATGTCATATATCATTCGTAGTTCATTGATTACATTATTCGTAATAGTAGATTAAATTATCATCTTAAATATTATTAGTTACATTGGGTTAGATTATTCATATTAGATAAGATTATTCATAAATTTTATTGTAATTAATTATAATTTTATTATATGTCATGTAATACAGACAATCGGACTTTAACTCCGAAAACTAGACAAAAAATTCATCAGTATTATAAACTGAATGTTTAATTAGAAAGTGGAACAATTTATTTTTTGAAAATCTGTAAATCTTGACACTTTTTGATATTATTCGGGACGTTACTGTATATCATTGGAGTCATAGGTTAATAATATAAATCATAAATAAAAAAATATATAAATCAACACACTTTTCTCATACAGGGTAGTTTTATATTTTCTAGTAAGGTTATTATATAATCTGCTTCTATTGCGACATCTCGAAATCTCTAATTTAAATAGTGATGGATATAGCCTAATAAATAAAGCCATTTCAAATATGTATAGTGATGGTAAGGTAAGTAATTTTAATTTCACGAAATAATCCTTACAGCTATATTTCTTTTTAAACCACCTTTTTTGACATTTAAACACTTTATCTCAGTTAGTGGAGTTTCCCCAAAAAATTATTGCTTATCTAAGTCTGGACGCAACACAACCATGATAAGCCATAAGTAACGTGAGGAGACTGACTTTTTTGCTAGCATATATAGGTTATAACTTTGTTGTTGTTGTTGTTATTTGAACTTTTTGTCATTATACTGAATTTTTGTACTAACATTATGATTATTTTTTTGTTTCCATTGCATTATTTTAGTTTTATCTATATTTATTATTAAATTAATGTATTTTAAGTTAACCACTCAATTATTGAGTTTAAGCTTCATTTATTATGTTTTCATTATTATAAATAACTGTACAGTCATCTGCGAATAATATCATCCGATTGTTTGTAGATTTAGGTAGGTCGTTTATATAAAATAAAAAGTAGTGGTCCCAGAACACTTACTTGTGGGACACCAAATTTAACTCTTCTAGGACTGAATTTATAATGTATTTCATTTTTATGTTTGGAAGGCCTTTGACATATTCATGAACAAGGCATTAGAAGGTTGTCTAGAATCCACTCTTCGGTATATCATACTTAAAAATTCATAAACAGCTAAGTTTATTTATTGACATATTCTTTTGGAATCGTTTTTCGTCAGCAGTAAAGATGTTGTTCCGTTCGAAGTGATTATATAATTTATTATAATCCTTTTCAATTATTTTAGAGAATGTAGGAGTTAGGGCTATTGTTCTATAATTCTTTATATCACATTTAATTTCTTCTGATGGAGGGGTTTAATTATTATAGTCTATAATATTAATGGAAAAATACCCTGCTAAAACATAAGTTCATAATGTGGCTAAGTATGGGCGCAATACTAGAACAAACATATATATTATATCACTGATACACAAAAATGTCAACAAACCCAGTACCGACTTTTAGTGTTTTTTAAATTATGTATAATAAAAGAAATATCATAGAGATCAGTGGGACTTAAACAAAGGAATATGATGAACTATAAGTGCATGTTTGCTTTTTGGGGGGATAATTCATATTTTTAGGTTTAACAAAATCCGCATACTAATAACAGTCACTGTATACTGGTAAAAATACAACTGCGTGGCATATTTACTGCCTGGTAGAGCACCTGATAGAGCGTGCCGGTCTCAAGTCCACGCAGCTCTGCGCGACGTGCGTCCGCGGGCGTGGTGAGCGACTCGGCGCGGCGGCCGGGCGCGCGGTAGCGCACCTTGTAGCCGGTCAACGGCCCGCGGTGCGTGCGCGCGGGCGGAGCCTCCCACCGCACCAGGATCGACTGCACATAATATATTATTTGAAGGCAAACGAACCTATGCCCATACAGCCTATGTTGACATGTACATGTTTAGTTTTTTTTTTTTAAATATATTCATGCTTCTCATTCCATGGACTGTAAGATATATTGAAGATAACTTGACCAAGACTTATACAATAACTTGACGTTTATATCAAAATATGAGCATGTGTTTTGTTTTCACAAATTGAACATGCATGCGCAGACATTGAATGCCCGAAGTTGATATATATTATTACATATTAAACCATTATTTGAACGACAAGAGTAGCAATCCTCCGTAGTCGAGTTCCCGCCAAAACCCAAGCCTAAGCTTCCGACTATTAACTATTTTATGGTGACTCTGGCTTCCAAGCCTTTACCCAAAATGAATATTTGCATTTATTTATTAATTTCTTTTCAATGCCATGACGTTAAATGAAGGTTTTTTCATAATTTGCTTCATAAAGAGGACTTTTTCTATAGAAGTCACTGTAATGTGATCAATATAATGTTTTTCTTTAAATATTAGTAATCTTATATATTAATATTACTATTCTTTTTAACCACTCCTGGTAAGCTTAAAACGCTTGTGTTAGGAGTGGTTCACGACGTTAATCAAATGGCGGATTCGAACCACGACCGTTTTGAGTTTGCGGTGCGCACTCTGCCCTTAGGATACTGTCGCTATATGTAAGCAACAAAATGGTCCCACGGGTGTGTAAAATTGAACACGCTCCCACGGACGTGTAAAATTCACCTAACGTGTCACTCCCCGCTCCGCATGTATCTGTATATTTTCCCTTTTCTCTAATAATATACTGTACACTGTCTTACGAGAAACACGTCTTTCATTCAAACTCCTAAAACCTACATTATTACATTACGCTTGGCAGATGGCTTCGCAACAACGTGCAGGTGCGGGTACAGTTACCGTAGCGGTAACGCTGGCTCGGTGCGCACGTGCAGTGCGGGTACCGTTACGTGGATGTGACGTTGCTCGGTGTGCACGTGAGGTGCAGGTACAGTTACGTCGCAGTGCGAACGTTAGGTGCGGGTACAGTTACATGGCAGTGACGTTGCTCGGTGCGCACGTGCGATGCGGGTACAGTTACGAGGCAGTAACGATGCTCGGTGCGCGCGTGCGGTGCGGGTACAGTTACGTGGCAGTGACGTTGCTCGGTGCGCACGTGAGGTGCCGGTACAGTACCGTGGCGCCGCTGGGCACGGCGGTGACGTTGGCGGGCGGCGCGGCTGGCGCGTCGTGCGGCGTGCGCACGCGTTGGGCGGGCGAGGGCGCGCCGCCGGCCGCCGCCACTCGCACGCGGTACGCGCTGCCTGCCCGCAGTCCGCCCACGCTCGCGCCCACGCCTTCTGCCCACTGGACCTGCTCCCGCCCCGATTCCTCCTACGAGACAAACGAACAATCACTGCCAACGTCAAAAGTGCGAGACGTCTGATGTGTTCATCAATCCACCTGTCAAAGATGATGTTGAAGGCAAAAATCCTTCGTAGCCCGTCAAAATACGATGATAAAACTGTGATAACGTATATTGTACTCTGTTTACCATGATATAAATAATTGGTATTGCGAACCTGTACGCTACATGGCTGTCACTGAATATTTTTCACACGTGGTCCCAAATGTGTATTTACGTGCAAAATTCGTAAGACCACGAAAGTCTTTAAAATATTATAATACTCGAAGGACCAAAAATGTAGTGGTCTACATTTTTAGTATTTAAATGATAAATTAAAAAGATTTTGACAATAAATGATAACAACCGATCCAATTACATTTTTAGTGGACACCAATTCTATACAAGTAAAGCATTTACAACTTAGCTGCGTTCACATAACGCGTCGCGTTACAACGCTTATGTATTTTTACTTTAATACCAGTAAAAATGTACGAGTAGCTCGTACTTCCTTCCTAAAACGGGGGAAATTCATATCCAGCAATTCCTTGGACTCTCCTTCCAACCATTTGGTTACACGGAACAAATCTTGGAAAAAAACTTGCGGTATTCCCTTAAGGCTCTATGTCCACGTGCTTTTTCTTGATTCTCCAGAAATTTCTGTATTTCAGCCTCTTTTTATTATTACGTAACATATCCAGGAATGAACTTATACGAACTTATAAGTAGTTTACACCATTTAAAAATGTATCCTAGCCAATTCCCACACTGGTTTTATCATCCCCTGATTCGTTGCCTTTGAAAAAAGAAAATCATAAGTTGTTCAAAAAATTTGGTAATCCGAGGGATAATTATACATTGAGAACATACGACATAATATGTAAAGAAATCATAATAAACGCTTAATTGAAGTCTACTGTAGCCGCTGAACCCTCCAAGCCGCGCGAGTGATTGTGGCACCTGACTGACCTGACTGCGCATTCAATTTCACTTTCTCTTTTACGACCGCACGACTTCAACAAAAACAATTACTACTGAAAAACTATTATAGCTACATTTGAATAAAAATATTCAGAATTTAATTTTGTATTAAAGAAAATTGCTCAAATTAAAAATAAAGGATGAAAATATAGCTTAAAGTTGGGAACATAAAAAATTATCGTATTTATTTTTATTTCGAGTTCTTACAAGAAAAGTGTAATAGTTACTGGACACACTTATTTTATATTATACATGATATACCCATTAAAATGACACCAATATCTCAATATTATGATTTACTCAATATAAATAAATATATAATATTTACTCAATATTATCATTCATCATATCATTTACTCAATATTGACATTCACTCCCCAACACTAAAATCACATCTCAACATATTTCGTTTATAAATGGCTGGATTTATGTTTGATCAAATCTGATATAATGGTGGCGAAGATCTTGAACTTGTTCACAGACTGCAGACTTTATAATTCTATGACATTGGGACGTCAGTTAAAAAATAAGTTAATAAAACGCGATAAAATCCGTATAATTGGTACTATTTATCATTTTTAACAAGTCTTTAAGACGGCATATTCCATTTTGTTTAGAAAAACTGCTGTTCAATAACAATTCACAAGTCTAGTGACAAAACTAAATGTGAAAACTACAGGCTAATTGGTGTGTTATCCTGTATGGCTAACATTTTTGAATCGCTTGCTTATGACCATATTTATAACCAGATGAAAAAAAGCATTTCAAACTTACAACATGAGTGTCATTGTTACCGGTAGATCAATCGTTGGTAACCTACTTGTTTACAAAAATTACATCTGTCAAGCATTTGCTGCCCAACACCAAGTAGATTCGATTTACATTGACTTTTCAAATGTGTTTGACAAAGTCAACTATAGAATACTCTCGGCAAAATTTTCAGGTATACGGGATATATGGCGTTTTGATGCGTTGGATAATTTCATATTATTCTAGGCGTAGTCAAATCGTTACAGTAAAAGGTTGTCTCTCCAAATCAGTTCTCATAACATCCGGAGTTCCTCAAGAACTCTTATCGGCACTCTGTTGTTTATTATATTTATTAATGACTTGGTAGAAAAAATCACAACTGAAATTTTACTATATGCAGATGATATGAAAGATTTCCGTATAATCAATGTCAGTGACTGCATCTTGTTGCAACGTGACTTTAACAAAATTCATACCTGGTATTCTCGTAATAAATTGTTAAATATTTTACGGTAACTCTCTGTACATTCTTCTCAGTTTTTTTTTAAATAAACATAGATAAACAATATCACAATAATGAAAGTGGCATAGTACTAAACTGTTACAAAGCAGCACCCTTATGTCACGTGAAATGTGAGAAATTTATACAAGTTTTTAAAGAACCATATCATTTGCCGATTTTTGACTGAATAATAATAATAATATAATAATAATAATACCCATTTAATTCCCAATTTTCATACAGCAGTCGATAAAGACAAGATAATGCAAGTGTCAATTTTAAATAAAAAGTTTAAATTAAACTTACAAAATTAATTTTTGATTATTTATAAATAATGTTAGGGTAAATAATCAATTTATATTTATATTTTTAAGCAATTGTCAACTTATTTTGATTTTTGTCACAAAATATCTTTGACTAGAGAAAAAAGAAAGGACATGACATACCTACGACAAAAACGTGTATACCTGAAATGAGTCTGGCACAATAATGGCGGCTAGACGTAGTGCTGCGCACTATACTTAATATCGATAATGTGGCGCTTATTTAGAAAAAGATTCTTTCGTGTGATTCATCTCAAACATCCTTGTGTTCTTAGATAGTTTTTTTTAAAAACAATATGACGGATTTTTGTCGCCAAATTGGTAAGTCCTTAATTTTTTTTAACTCAAGCCGAAGGGTACCCAAATAAAGGAAATTAAAAGGAGATTACTGAAGTATATATAAGTTATACCTATGTTTTCAGTTCATTACTTTTAAACAGTCGTTTTTTTGTTTTTATAATGTAACTATCTATTATTAATGTTACAATTATTTCCCGGGAATTACTAAATAGGAAGTACTAATTAAAGAATTTTTGTTTGTTTGTTAGACAATAAATTAGACTCAGTCATAATACTCACACTGATTAAACTATAATAAATGCAAAAGTGTTTTAATTCTCAATCACGCCAAAAGTTTCAGACCAGTTTGAATGTAATAATTTGGCACGCAAATAGTTTATTACCTGAATTAACATATAGGACTTTTTATCCCGATTTAGAGGTCCCGAGGAATAAATAAGAAATTTCGTAATAATCGAATTCCACGAGAGAAACATGTAAAAATAACACACTCCCTCACTAAAGTCGCCATGACAACTGATATAGTTGTCATTGACTGTGACGAAACATGGCGCCCGGCCGCAGCGAAAAAATTATTGCCATATTCTGTAATGATAAAACTACTGTTGTCCTTTTTTACATACGAATATACTCGTAAGCTAAAAAGAGACGCAGATATTTCGTTACATTCCTACAACTAATGATCTTTATGTCATCCTTTCTTTTTCCTCTAGTCAAAGCAAAATATAT